AACCTTGGTCTAATGGAAGTTGTCCCTGCCCATGGCAGGGGTGTTACAATGAGATGATCTTTAAGGTCCCTTCCAACTCACGCCATTCTGTGATACTAAAACTCCTGGAGTTGCTAAAGTGAAGCCATTTAGGATACTAATTTTTTTCTAGGAGAAAGGTACGTTATAAAGACTTTACCCCTAAAAGTCAGTTTAATGCTTATGTGAGCTTTTTGCTGTTGCTTTCCCAATGCTAGTGAAGGTAACTTTGCACACATTACTTCAAGTTAGGGAGTTACTTGTCTCTGAGCATCCAAGTGATATAACACATCACAAGGTTGTCTTTGATATTTTTGTTGTCTTGACCAATTTAAAAGTCCTATTCTCTTTCAGCAAAGGAGGAGAGCACACACACACACACACACACACACACACATTGGGGTTGATAAACAGGCTCAGAATTCAGCTCAAAAAAACCCCAAAGACCCAGCCAGAAATAGCTTCATGTACAGTTCTGTAGACAGCAGTCATACACACTGATAACTAGCCCATGGCTTCAACCATTCCACCCAGGTTTCCAGACAAACAGTTCATGTTTACACAAACACAGGATGATTAACTTCCAGACAGACATTAGTCTGGCAACAGAGGGAAATACCAACATAGCCAAAACCTGACAGGAGTGAACTATTTTAAACACTCATAATGCGAGACCCAGGAGAAGACCCAAATCTCAGTGCATTGGAACATACCCGACTGCTTTTCTTTCTGCAAGATCTTCATCTGTTATAGATCAGATTTTGGAAATTACTTTTAACTTCCTTTTCACCAGCTACAAATCCAGAACAATAAATCAAGCTTCAAGAGTCAGTTACGCACATTATAAGCAAAATAAAAGGTAGCAGAATCTGTTACCATATTTCCTGACACTCAAAGAACCTCAAAACCACAACCCTCCAAAATAACTGAGCCATACAGTGATTCTGTCCTTCAGAAATTACCTTGTACTCATTACTTATTACTTTAAGATGAAAACACCTTTTAGAGGCTCATTGCTTGTCTGTGAAAAACTCAGCATCAGTGGAGATCACCTCAACTAGCACACCTTCTATGAACTTCAGCCTCCCCTGCTGCACTTACCCAAACCCTGCTGTGCCTCTCCCCCACTGCTGTTTACCTTGGCTGCAGCAAACCTGCCCAAGTGTCCTCATCCAGCTTGCCCAGGGCTGCACTCAGGTGCAGTGCTCTCATACTGCAAAAAACACAACTTACAGCGCAGCTGTCTCACATCTTTGCAAAGAGCACTCAGCCAAATTTCTGTCCCCTCATCTCTCCATTCTCTTTTACAATTACAGTCCCAGACTTACAACTGACTGAGATGTGAAACACCGAGTTAGGGACTACCTGGTTTCCAGGTGGAGAAGGTTCAGGTGAACCTAATCTGAAAGAGGAGAATAAAGGAGTCATTTGCAGCTGGGTTAATTTTAAGTAACAACCCCTACTATGGAACAGGACTGGACTAATTGACTGTTTCTGCTGCCTTTGCTCAGTGCACAATGACCATAGACAATGGAAAAGCCAACAACAGCTTGCAGGATTTGAGGTTTTGTTTAGTCTGCCTAGGACTCTGCACATTAGCTCAGAAAATACAAATCTACATAAAGTTGCTCCTCATTTTTTGAGGCAGTAAGCTCAGAAGTAATAATTTACCAGTTTTGCTACTACTGTTCTCTGGCATTGCTATTTTTTGTGCCAGTACTCTCTCTGGTACAACAGTTATTTGAATTAGGAACAACTAATGGTTATTTAAATATAAATAACAACAGTTATTTGACTAGGAAACAGTAAATGTGCAAAATACAAGTTTGACAATGACCCCAAAATATTCTACTGAGAATGAGAGATTAACTCTTAAAGGCAAATGTTCCTCTTTCTCCCTACCCCCAAAAGAAAAATGCCAAGAGAGGCAAAGCCTAGAAATATATTGGGTTGCAGGGGCTATCCTGCACTGACTGTGCTGGAATGAGTGGAGGCTTCCCTAGATTGCTTCTGCTTTTGTTTGACTTGCCAAGATTTGAAATGCAAATGAAAAGTCAAGCTTGAGTCCCTACAATTGAAATCTTCTAAACATTATTCACCAACAGAATGAAAGAGTAATCAAAGATTAGAAAGTAATGAGTAAGAGTCTATTTTCTCAAAGAAACTCAGAATTCCAGTGTTACTTTCATTCTGAGTTTCTTCAAAATAGTCACATTTGGTTAAACATTTTTTTCCTTGCAATTTTTTTGTAATAATTATAGAAGTCTGAGCTACTGGAAAGAACGACATGAACTCTTTTAGTTAGTTACCATTAAAGAGAATCCTTAAAATCACACAAACCATTTAACTGCAGTTTTAACTGGAAAATTAATATGGATGATGCTTGTCGGCTTAAAAACTGAAAGTACTGTTAACTACATGTATTTACATTATTGGCATTGCAATTGTTGTTCCATGCCAGTTCCATGCCCAAAACTACTCTGTGCCAAGTCAACTGCTTACAAAGTAAGGTCTACTAGAAAATTCTCCATTCACATGGAACTCAAGGCTCTATAAATTACACTGGAAAAAAATGCCCTGTGCAAATAGTTCCATTTATCTTTTTAATTGAGAACTATTAGTGCAGTAATAGTTAGTCGATCAAACGTACAAATTCTGAGCATCTCCAAGGACAGAGAAGCCGCCTCCTCTCTAGGTCCCTGTTCCAAAGCCTAGCATATTCTTTAGGAATATTTTTCCTAGCACTTCCTTTGAATTGCCCTTGCTTCAACTTGGGCCTCTTGCCCATCATGATGTCCAAGAAAAATGTGACTCTACCTTCCACACGCTTTCCAAGCAGATGGCTGTGGACAGAGAGAGCACCCTTCCAGGCTGAGTAAGCCCACTTCTTTACTGGTATATCACAGACTACAGCCCCTCACCTTGGTGGCCCATTCCAGTATGACAACGGCTTTGTTGTACAAGGGAGACCAAAACTGGCTACGATGCTTCCAACGTCATCCCTCAGGATGCTGTGCAGAGGGGAACAACTGCACCCTGTGACCTGCTATTCCTGCTAGGCATGCTCAGAATGTTGCACTGAAGGGAACTGACGGGGAGCTATTTGCATGGGCAATTCTATTTGTAAAAGTGACCTGAGGAGATAGAGCCTGTACAAATCATTGTGTTTGAATATTAGGCTACCTGGAGAGTACGTGTACAATATTACATGGATGTTTTCATTTATTTCTAATAATTAATGAGTATGCAAAATTAACGTGGGGTTTTTTAATGAAATTGTGTCCCCAAAGCTGAGGTTCATGGAACTGAGCATTCATCTTCCCTTTTAGAAGACATAAGTAGTGACATACTACTTTTTCCTCACCATGAAAGAGAATATGACACATACCTGCTGTCCGTGTGGCACATCAGACAGCAAAATTACCATTACCAAAATGTCCTTGGGCCATCAGGCATTTCTTGGCTAAACATTCTCAGTGTATTATTCGGGTTACATTACACAAGCATTTCCAAAGATCTAGAAGGTGAATGATTTGGAGAGGCCTGGTAAGCCGGTTCCTCCCGCAGGATTTACAACTCATCTCCACATGTTCCACTCACTTTCACCAGTGGGTGATTGTGTGGTACATGGCCAGGGCATGTAAGCCTGTCTGGCAATCCCATTTTGGGTCCAGGCTCTGGGAAAGGAAAGCAAAGTTTCCTTTTTTGATCTACTGAAATGCTTTTAGCTGCTTTCAGATTTGTCATAACAACAATACACTTAAGGAATAATCTAATACAGGCTTAAACCTCCATTCGGTACAGGCTGCTAAAAATGCCTTTCTCAATTTGATATGCTACACTGATGTATTGCACTTTTCTGTATCTGTTTCATTCCCTTATGATGTATGAAATTCAAAGGTATTACGCAAAGTAACAGCTAGCCCCAAGTGAGGCAGCTAAACCCACAAACCTGGATGTACAATGAATATGATGTAGTCAAAGCTAATTAATTGTTCCATATCCATCATCATTCCATTACAAAGTTCCTTTCCCTTCCTCTCAGGGGCTTTTCTCCTCTCTATACCATTTCTGACTTCTTTCCACTGATGAACAAAGCTCGAATGCTCTCTTACACAAACCTAGGCTTCTTCCCCAGGTCTGCTGGCATCATTTCCATGCATGTTTGTCTCAATTTCTTGCTGTTTTCTTCCAAAGGATATTTATCTTGAGTTTAGTCCTGAAGATCTGAATTGAACCAAAGTTCTCGTTACCTCCTGGGCGCAGCTCTGTAGATGTCTGCTGCTCCTGCTTCACTTTCCGAGTCCTATTCTGAAGTCAGCATAGACAGGAGCGGGAGCTGCAACTACCTTCTCTCAGTACCTCCTCTCCTCCTGTTTCAGTGGAGGGAGCAAACTTGAACCTTGCTCAGGCCCCTCTGCTTTCTGAGCAGAGGCCCAGGCACACCCTCAGAGGCATCACACTAACTGGCAGCTGGCACTGTCTGTCTCCCAGCAGCAGGGCATTAATAACCATTAACAAAATGCTATACAGTTCCAACATGATATCAGTGGTATTAACCTCTGTCATTCCTGTATCAGCACTCATAAATGACTGTTTTTCTTTTTTTTTTTTCCTTCAAAACTTATCTTTTAAATACCCCATAGCGTTAAAACCAACAGTGATTACTCAAAATAGCTCTTATTTTCCAATTTTGAAAATGAATTCTCAGTAATCAGTAGTGACTATGTCGAGCAACAGCTGAATTTCTCTCATCCATGTTTTTTACCAAGCTTTACAATAAATAAACCAAAGCCTTTATACCCGATTTTACCACCTATTAGAGGGAATAGGTGCAAGAGGTTTGGGAGTTTTGTGGAACAGACAGTTTATGAACAGATTACTCTGAACTGGTGTATTACAGCAAATCTGCTATTGCTTTCAGAAGCATGAAATAAAAGTATCTTTTCTCAATTCAAACCAGTAACCAGGCCAGGAGGAAGTCTTTTTAAATGGTATATTCATAAAAGCATCTTACAACCTTACAGTATGCATTGTTTCTCAGTTTAAAACAAAATTAAAAAATAAAATGCCAACACTATGAACAGAGGAGATAAAGCCTGTAGGAAGAGAGAGTTGGTATCATTTTTTACAGTAATAAATACAACTGGATACAATTTTCCATATAGTCAACCACATCTAAATTCCTAGATCACTAACCAAAACACACCTGCTGAATTTCCCCGTGATGATTCAGGATCAATATGCCTTAAGATGATTTGAAGCACTGATAGATCATTAAGATTGTCCTTTTCTTTTTACAGATTAAGAAGGACATATTTCCATTGCTTATATAAATTGCTATTTACTGGAATACTCCAAGATATGAGAATGCCTAATACCAGCTTAGTTTAAGTGACCTTACATCCCCCTGTCGTCCAAAAATGATTTAAGATGTCCACTTTATCACAGTGAAATCTCTGGTTCTAGCAAATAGGATGGGGCCACCAGATAAATGTTCACATGGCAGAACTAGTCCTGCCCATCTCTGTATCTACACTCATGCCTAACAGCTATTAATAGGCACAATGAGTGGATGTGCAAGACCAGAGTGGGAATGCTTTGTACTCCCATGCACTAAATCAGCCACACGATGCAGCTGTTTCTCCAGCTTGGGTTTGATTTTTATTTTTTTCTTTCTTTTGGTAGGTTTTGGTTTTGTTGGTTTTAGGTTGGTTTCTGGTTTGTGGTTTTGGTTGTTTTGGTGGTTTTTTTGTTTCTAAAAAAATAAAAAAGCTTTACCTCTCAGAAAACCTTGAGAAGTTCATGTGATGCAGACTTTCAATAGAAAATTGAAAGAGCATATAGGATATTTGCCACTTTTGGTTCCTCTAGGTAGAGCAGCTGGTCCCAGTGGAATAAAGGCAAGGATGAAGCTGTCTTCTCTATAAATGACACAGCAACAAGGGATACTGCCACCAAAAGCAAAGTCTGCTCTGTAGCAGCCCAGTACAAACCACCACAAGGAGCGTTTCAGGGTGAGTGAGCTGAGAGCACAGCACAGGCACTGCAGTCATGTGGAAGCAGATGACAGGAGTGAAAGGATGAACGTTTGCAGTTCTCCAGCCCAGCTGCAGACCTCCTGAGAAAGTGTATGCTTCAGGTTACCTCAGGTCTTAGAGACACCCTCTATCAGGCAGTGAACCAACCAGCAGCACCTCTGAGAGAGGCAAATCCGCATCCCTGTGGAAATGGCAGAAGACTGATTAATTTAATCCCACGCCCTTCCTAAGAAAAGATAGTAAGAGATAGTGAGGAGCAAAATTTGTACAAATGTACCAGTGTCTTCTTCCTTCTCTGGCAGAGAAAAGGAGGAGCAGATTCCATATGTCCACCCCTCTCCTGATCACAGCAGTTAGTAGAAGAGGGGAAAAGGAGTTTTCTGCAAAGCCTGTGACTTTGAGGCAGCAGAAGGGCAAGAGTTCAGTTTTACGACTCTTGGCCCCAACACAATTTACCATTTACAAACTAATCCTCCTCCGTTCGAGAGCACAAGGCCTGCTAAAGCTCTCGTGTCCACTTCTCTGATTCTCCATTGTCCACAGTGACAGGGAGAAGCTGAAGACCTAATCGGTGTGTAATTCAATCGCTGTCCAGGCTGTGTCACAGCACAATGCTGTGCTTGTAGTGCCATGGGGTAAGTCAGCCAGCTACTGTTATCCACCACAGCAGGTGTGAAGAATGTCACTCGGTCTGACTGTGTGTTGCCCCTCTGTCCAGGTCCGTTTCTAATGCTACGTGCACTCACCACTTAAAGACTGGTTTTCCCTCTGGCAGCAAGCTAACTGTCAGCTCCATGGTAAAAGGGTTTTTGACACTGAACTGGGAATCCCTGCACAGCATAATATGGGCCTCATACAAAGTAAGCCCCTCTGCTTTCCAGATACTCAAAACATAGAAGCTCGCTAACAGGATATTTATTTCCTTAGTCTTAATCTAGCAATTAGAGAATTATAACTTAATACAAACTGCTTCACTCTGTTGTTCCTAACCAGACACGACACTGGACATTGCTACACCGCTCTTTGGACTGGTTTAAATCCTAAAGCTCCTTGGTACCTAATTACATTTTAATCAGCAAGGGACAGATGCTTCAAAAAATTCTTAGTCACATGTAGGTGGTTAAAGATACCTGGAAAACCAAATTAAATGTGCTGCCACACTAAAATACAGATCTTGGGCCACTCTGAGAATGGCATTTGTTTTGGTTTTTTAGCAAAAATTTACTACTCCCCAAAGAATAAAAAGTTGCATTTTCATTATTCTTGAGTCATACCAAAGTGCAAGGAGGCTGAGGAAGAGAAGCACAGAGGAAGGAGGCCGGGCAACACCTGCCACTTCATCACCAGTGAAGCAGCAGTGGGTGTGGGCATGAGCACACACTACCAGGCAGATAAGCAGGCAGCAGGGAACTATTGCTGATACACCCACAGCAGCACCAGAGAACTGTAATCTACTCAAAGTAGCAAACACGTAGGGACAGTAACAAGGAGCATGTCAGGGGATGTCTCCCCTGCACACTTCTGACAACCGTGTGCGATGTTTCTTTCCATGCGTAACAGTGACTTGTCCAAGGGATGTGAGAACAAAATGAGCACAGAAACACCCTATTTCTAATATATCTATTTCCTTAACAGCCTTGAGAATTTCATTCATGTCGATTTTTGGTGCTATTCCTTAATTTTCATGCAGAAGCAAAGCGAATAACAGGAATACCTGATGGAAGAGCTACACTGGGACAGAAATTGTACAGGCCTGTACCGTCAGTAGTTTTTCATTCAAAGGAACAAACAACAGAAGTCAGCTGGATAACCTGACCAACCCAAGAAGTGGATAAACCAAAATGGAAACAATTTCTCTGCCGCCACATAGATGATCTTAAATCAATATATTTGGCTGTCCAGAGTATTTCTGTGTAATTCTATACAAGAGTTATGGTTACCAATCTTACCTAATCCTGTAAAGGGATGAAATACTTCGTCACACTTTCAAATTCTGTGAAGGCAGTGAGCAGATGAAGAAAGATGATCCAGCTTCTTACCACTTGCTACACAAAAGTTCATAATATTCATTATTCAAAATATGAATTGGACATCTGTATCTACAATGTTTAACAAGTCTTGCTTAGTGCTGAAGCCAAGCTGCTCATTTCACCCATACTCATCTACTGTCATCATCGACGGCTGATTTCCAAACATGGCCAGACACCAGTTTTCATGGCAGGGGTCATGAAACATTCTTGCATCCTGAATCAGGATTCAGCAATGCCATGTGCCAAGCCTTAGAAGCATGCAGAGCATTTGCAACTGAGCACCTGCGGAAATCCCATTTCCTGACAAAGAGAGGCCTCCAATATTCATGTTTTTCTCCTGCTCTTAGGCCATGCTGTAATGAAATATGGCCTGAATAATCCTTTTATAGCTATACAGGGAAATGTCCTTGCTTAGCATTTACCCCTCCTCATGCAGGTTCAGTGGAGACTTGGTTGAGCAATCAACAAAGATGCACAAAGCCTGGCTGATAGGATATGGCCAAAACCATGCACAGAGCAGGGATACAAAGTGGACATGCAGGTTATCAGAGAAACTGGGCAGACTCTGGTAACTTTAATGAATACAGGTAAGAGGATAGAACACTAAGGAGTCACAATAAATTCGGTGTTAATGCTGACAGTGACATACGTAGGCACAGACAAAGAGTGCACGCTCATGGAAAGGGAGGCCAGGAGTGCTGTTGCCAGCAGCATGCGAATAATTAGAGAGTGCAGGACTGCACAGGAACCGCTGCTGAGTCAGTGACAACAATCAATGGGTAGTAAGTTGAAGGCATGCTGGAAGGGACTTGGAAAGGGCTGATTGCGACACCAGAAACGGAAATGACTTTGAACAGGTGAGACTCCCTGCCCTGCAAGGCACCCTCCTATTACCTCCTGCTGCAGGTCTGGGTTGCCCTTATTCCAAGGTGCTTTTGTCCCTTTGAAGGCAGTGATTCCCTTACTCAAAGAAACCTGCATCCTTGTCCTGTCCCCTTCACTCTAATCCTGGGTTGCTGCTGCTTTACCTCTGGCATGGAGCTATCTGTGCCTCCTCCTCCTCAAACTCTGGCTCCTACCTCCCCACCATCACATGCCTATATGTCCCCAGGCCATCTTCTCATCCTCCATTCCCCTGGGATTGTCTCCTGTCCTGCTTCATACCCCAGATTATCTCTGGTTTTGTTTTCTTCCCTCTGGCAGTGAGAGTGTGAATCCCAAACTGTTACACGTAGCAGACCATTAGCCCGTACACTGTTCTGTGCCCCATCTCCCTTTTGCTGGTCCACTCACAGAAGCTTTAAACCAGCGACTACAGAGACCGAACAACTCTGAAAAACTACCAGCCCTCAAAATTTCTCACACACCATCACATACATGTATCATAGCTTCAAGTGACAACACAGGTTTGGCAGTTTGGAGATCAATCATTTGTCATGGCCCTGCTAGTCTTTAGTGGTCCGTCAACCTCATTTCAGGAACCATAATCTATCGTGGCACTGGGCAGGTTCAGTGGATGCAGAGTGACAGCCACTAGCATTTCCACAAGGAAATGCTAGAACAACTTCTGTCTGATGGGTATAAAAATCAGGTCTCCATGGCACACTCCCTTTTCCTTCCTTCCTGCTGATCAGTCTTTCCTCTGGGTCTTCAGGGGACCTACCCCCTCCTCTTGGCCATGACAGCCTACATTCAAACAGCTGCTAGGGCTGGATGAAGCACCTGCTCTGGGCAACAGCAGCTGGAGTTCATTTTGGGTCCAAAGGGCTGAGGCCAAGCAGGCTGACTGCATGTGCACTAATCCAGTATCATCAACAACTCCACCAGCAACAGGTGCCTCTTTGAAGAAGGAGGGAAAAACTATTTGGGGAGGAATCAGAGCTTTATAAAGGACATTATGGGCCAAGTCCTCAGCTGGTTCATGCACAGTAAAAGCATGTACTCTCTTGAAGTTATATGAGTAACACTCACATATACGAGTAAAATATTTGGCCCACTCTCAGTGCTGCTTCTCTTTCTAGTTTTCCTAAGGATTTTTCACCTCCTCTTTTTGCTCTGAACTGATCTTACATCAATAAAGAAAAGAAACTTTTCTGTCCCTTGCTTCAGACCAAACAACTGAAAGTCAGAAGCTACATATACCAGATTTCAACATCCTCCTCTGCATAGGTAACACAATCTTACCGTTGCCTGACAATATCTGTCCCTCAGCCTTGCTTGAATCCTGGAGTCCAGATCACGAGCATACATCAACAGGACCAAGGGCAATGCCATTCTGGAACAAATCAAACCAAACCCCATTAAGGTCCATTAAGAGAAAATTTTCAGCACAGGCATTCTAAGAATCGCCATGCACTTGCTAAGGCCAGCGGTCCCTATAGGCCAGTGTGTAATTTCAATATATGACCACTACACAGTGACATGGGAAGAGTGCAAAAAAACCCTGACAGAAGCAGCTATTGGCCAAACTGGATACAAGGAAAGTTTTATTCTTATCTCATTTTGCTGGAAATTTGTTTACCACCCAGTACACACAAATCTCATAATTTTATAAGTCCCTCTTAGTGCATTTCTGATAAATGCCTGTATTAATGAGAGCCTCTACATTTTCTTCTTTTCTGAGTCCAGCCATTCTGAGCTCCAAAGGTCAGTTCTGTAAATCTGGTCTCACTCCTTGCAGTTACTTTTCCTAGAGAACCTGGAAGCGTTCTGGAACCTGAGAACGGAGCTGGATTCACAAAAGTGGCACCACAGAGCACTGCCAAAAGCAACAGGAGAAAAAGCAGCCTTTCCAAACTCCTGTTGATGCACTATTAGAGGAAAACATGACCTAACTGCAAGTTGGTCATGTGAACCAGTCTTTATAGCTTGTATTCCAAAAATTATTTTCCTGAACTTTTAATTCATGACTTTCCAAGATTGAGATTGAAGTAACTTTCCCCTTGGAACTATGTCTCAGCTTGGTTATATTACACAAATAAGCCAAGTGGAGACAGTTGGATGAACAGAACTGGTGGTGAGAACGGCACAGGCAGAAAAAACAGTCTCCACTCCATAACAGTTCCTGGCATCTCATCCACAAGCACACATAAGTGTAAACTGTACTGTGTTGACCTGACTGTTTAAATGGGTCTCCAAGAATTTCCCTTGACAAACACTGCAGTGCAGGCCAGGCAGTGCCATTTCCTCACCAGCGATAGGACAGACACACAACCACACAGGAACATCCACTGCTAGAAATTCTAGCAGTATTCTCAGCTGCTGCAGACTCACGGATTCCCTTTGAGGCTTTAACCACAGCTCCAAAGTCAGAAAACACCAAAGCATGTACAAACATACACAGAAGGCAATATTGCACACTCGTGCATCAGGTTTGTCCACACACATGCCCGAGGAAACCACAGGGCAGTCGCTCTGCACGCTTAATACCGAGCAGTCAGGATACCCACACGTTACTGCCCTTCCCAGCCAAAGCAATAAAACACTGCAAGCATGTGACAGCACAGAGCTCTCCCTAACCCTCTGAATCCTCGCTGCGGTTGCTGTCACTGGGCACATTTCATGCAGGCCAGCTGCACGGGATTTATTCAGCCAGTTTTGGAGTATCAAAGCTAGCTTTTTTTTTTTTTTTTTTGGTCTTTGCCCCAGGCAGGCACTCGGTATGCGGGATTTAAAACAGAGAACAAAATGTGCTGTGAAATTTGTAAATACTCAGCACAGTAATTTTTAAATTCTAAAAAAAGATAGCAACTGGAGTGGTTAAAAAATCAAAAAGTAAAGCATTTCACTACATCACTGTGAGTAATGCCACTGTGACCTAAAGACCAGTCTAAGTAAACTCCCAAGATTACCAATTAATGGTGCTGACTGCCTTAAGTGATAGGAGCCAAACATATTCTGAGTTTTATCCCATGATTTCAGTGAAATGAGGATAATGTCCAATTCAGCAAGTGCTCTCCATAAAGATCCTGAATTTGAAAAAAAAGTTGTTTGATCCCTGCAAGTTGGCACAAAAGACTTTGCCTGGGACATAGTGCCACAAACAGACTAGAATATAACACCTATTGTTACGAGATTTTTGTAATGTATTTAAAGCCATTACAATGGAATTACACAGAAAATGAGATACCCTAGGGAATCACAACACTTACACAATTTAAATGGCTTAGAAGAGGTTTTTTTGAGCAGAAAGCAGCAATAGAGGGTCATTTTTGACTGGAACTAGAAGAAGAATTAATTCATTGGAATTTAGCACTGCCTTTAAGGTCTATGACATTTGAGTGAAATTATCCACTTCTGCTTTGCCTGATTCACCACCACTGACTTCATATTAACAAAAAATTTAAAACAAACATTTAGCTGATTAATGTTCACATTAAAGTTGCAAATAAAGAACCTTTTGACATTTTTTTTCTCAAGCAGTTTCCCTTAAACTTTGAAAGGATTCTTTTTCACAAAAATTGTGAAAAGGGTTCATTTGGGTTTTTTTGGTGACTGCAAAAGCCAAAGTATTTAGAATCATTTCCTCTTCACCTGCAAACATTTCACACTCCTCTTACCACATCTGTGCCATTAGTTTCTTCTCTCTCAAGCCAAGTAGCAAATGGCATTAGTCAAACCAGTTAACTCCTAGGAGTACCTGAACTTCAGAAGCAGGTGCTCTTGGTACTAGCAGGGATTTTATGAACACTGATTATCAGTAGCACAGAGCAGCAAGACAATAAACGGTTTCTGCATCTTCATCTCTTGCCCACAGTTTATTTCACAGAATAATTTTGCAGAATATTCTGAGCTGGAAGGGACCCAAGTCCAGCTCTCCAGTGAATGGCCCCTGACAGGGACTGGACCCACAGCCTTGGTTTTATTAGCATCATGCTCTAACCAACTGAACTAATCTTTTCACTTTGCTAGCCCAGATATTCCAAGCATGTACAAAGTGCACCACCTTATGCTCACCTCAAAGAGGTAGGTCTAATGTTCCCTCAAGGGCCACCTGGAGCACTTACTGAAGTTTACATTGCCTGGAAGTCATTACCTGCATCACTGATTTCAGATGGCACAGGCTGTGGAAAGAAAAAAAAAAAAAAAAAGCCACTGCCTTTTTCAGCATGTCAAGTCTTATTTTCTCATTTGTCCAAGAGTAAGTACAGATTCTTACCTGCAGCTGTCGAAAGGAAGATAGAATAGAAAGGCAAGGTATGCAAATTATAACAGACTTTAGGCAGTTTGGCATTGCACAACTCCCTTATGCAACTCATTGCCTAGGGCGAGCCACATGTTTTCAGAAATTCCACAGAACCCCCTTAAATATGCTCCAGTGCTGAGGCTTAGTAGTTTCAACCTGCAGTTAGTGACTGGACTTATGATATACCATGGACAGATTGTATGGATGAGCCTTAAGTTTGCTGGTCTATGCTTATTTAAATGTGACTTGAAATAACATTTGCAAGATCTCAGAGGCAGATGAACCCTGACAATTAATTCAAACTTACTCCCAAGCACAGCCTTTTAATAAAAATCAAATTAGTAGTATTAGCCAGTACCACGTCAAATGAATAGTCCACTCATAGCTTAAGTGTATTTATAAGAGAAAATGGTGACTGAAGGGCCAACCAACACTGCTGGCCAGGCTGGAGCTTACTCAGCCAGTCTGCCAGTCCTCTGCAGCCACCAGGCTGGGAGCACAGACAGCCCTCAGGCTCCAGCTCTCCCTGCTGCCTCTGCCCAAGACAAACCATGGGCTTCCTCAGTGCTGGCAGAGGCTGGGCTCCTAAAGACACAGGTGAGCTGAGAAGCTGAGTCTGCACACCTCATGATTTGGTAAATAGGAGAAAAGACACAGAGAGAGCAACTCAGTGTAAGTGATTCATCAGCGTTTAAAATTGCACTGGAGAGAGTGATACATGCTTAAGTAACATACAGCTTCTAGACATGAGCTAAATAATGGCCTCAGCTTAGTTTGACCTGCAGCCCCATCATTAAGAAGCCTACACACACATGAAGGCAGTCACACAAACACGGCCACGTGCAACTGGACTTGAGATGGAACGTGAAAGCTGAAGGTGTCAAATGCAAACCAGGTCAGAGCAGAACAACAGTCACAGCCAGGAGTCTGGCAATTCAGTTTGCTGAGATGCAGGCTTGACTGACCACACACAGACCCCAAACCTGCTGTTGGCATGAAGCTTTCTCAGCAGTCCAGAGAAGCAAGAGTGAAAGCAAAGGGAGAGAACAAGTCCGCCTGACCACTGTTGTGACACCAGGTTAAAGATAAGCTTTGCTTGTATTTCAGAAATTCTTACAAGCTTGTCTCCTGTGTTAGCTTTAGACACAGCACAGATATGCCTGTGGGCTATGGACATATTCTGTTTGAAGGACAGATTCCAATCATTACAGTTTCAAGGAATTCTATATATTCCCTATATATTATATATATAATGCTGGATAACATAAACCACGGTGATATATCTATAATTTATATATAAATATCTATATAAAAATAATATATATATATATAATATATAAATATATATAAAATATAGATATATCACCATGGTTTATGTTATCCAGCATTTGTAAAGTTCCTTAAGGAAGAATTGCAAAAGAAGAAAGGCAATGAGCCAACTTCTCAATATCTGTGCCATGCAGACTTGTGCCAAGGAAGCCTATGGAAAGGAACTGCCCGAGATAAAAGCTGTATCAGAAGTGCAAAGTGTTGCAACTTTATCAGGCTACGGATGCAAAGTGGGAAAACTCAGTAAAGGTGAAAAAGACATGCTCTTTCCAGTCACAAGAACATTCTTAAGCATCTCATCTGGCTTCAAACACTGCAGTAATGGATGTTTTGCAAACACAAAAATATTCGTGAGGAAGAAAATCTTTGACTCTAGAAAAAGAAAGCAATTGAAAACTAAGGTTTGGAGTATTTGAGGCTAATGCCAAAAAAAGGCACTTAAAAATTACTTCAAATTTAAAGTTAATCCAAGTATTTTTCAAACAGGATTTCAGTATGGTACTGACACTGCATAGTAATTTTCAGTACCTATAACCCCAAAAAATAGGCTTCTGTCTGCTCTGTTTGATACCAAGACGGCTCTGACTTCAAAAGGTCTAGACTTTTACTTTTGGGAAATCCTAAAACATCACTAAAACATGCTGATTTCACAGCACTACAACAAACTAGAGCTTTCCATTTGCTCATTGACATAGAGACAAAAAGCATTTTCCAGAATGTCCACCTCACAGCCTGAGGGCCATCTCATGTTTTGCTGATGACTACCTTTACAAAGAGTTAAAAGAAGTTACTTTGCTATGCCTACTTAAATAGTAACCTCCCAAATTTCAGGCTTCTTTTTTAACTTTATGAGTCACAACAGTGCAAAAAGGCAACAAAACAAATTTTGCCAGAAAAGTCAGAATTCTTGCTGGCTTTTCCTCTGTGGAAAAAGGAAGTAAAAAATAGTGAGATTGGATAAAATAGTGAGATGAAGCACCTGTTGAGAACAGAAAAGCATAAGAAAAATGGGTTAAGTGACTTCAAGTCCAATAAAAGCAATTGCAAATTCATGGGTGTTCATATGAATAATTTTTAATTTCCTGCCAGACAGCTTTGGTTTCACTTAATTACAAAACAAAATGATGAATGAAGAAGGCTATTTCACAGGCACACATATCATACATTTATTTATTACTTTTTCCCTCCATTTCCATCATAGCTATTGATGGGCACTGAATGATCACATGAGAGAAAGTCTGGTAACATTACATGGACTATTTGCAAAGCATATGAAGAATCCATCACAGCTAGAAAGAGGCTAACAGATGGTAGCTGGGTAGAAGCAACAGCCACAACTCTTACTACCTGTGGTGAAAGAATAAACAATATCAACTCCAGATTACAAAGTGCAGCCTAAAAAGCCTAGCTTTAAATGAGAGATTCAAGGCAGAAAATGGCCAGACACAACTAAATGTTTGCAAAGTAGGCTCACAAGAAAGGATACTTTGAGAGGATTGTTAAATCTCACTGACATTAACAGTCCTCTCTGCTGCACTCTGCCAAAGAATAAAAAGGAGAAGGGGTGGAGAGGGGTGGGGAAGGTGTGGGTGTGCATGCAGGAGAGTTTATTTTGCTGGAATTTTAATTGCAGTTCTGTATACCACACTGTGGTGGTTTGGCTTTCCACTCTGCCATACACTTTCAACACACTTTAAAATGCGTTGTACCAAAATCATGCCAAATCCTAAAAATTAAAAGACATCTTTCATCAAGGCATGATGAAACTCTATTTACAGATGTCATCAACCCTTTCTGCAATGACCTGCACATAACTATCTGTTCTTGCTTTCCCTCAGTCCGGATCACTCAGTGTCCAAACATTTTCACCCCAACATCAGTTCACCGAAGAAATCCATAAAGTACCTTCATACTCCAGGACTTAGTGGGAATAAGGCTCTAACACAGATTGACTTGTATCACGGTCACATGCAGACATTGTTACCCCAGGCAGGTAGTAACTTCTCTGCAGCACACAGTCTGGGAGAGAGACATCAACACCTTCAGTTTAGGACAGGTGAGAAAAAAAGCAAGCTATCTCAAGAGCAAGCTCACCTGATAGCAGGCACCTATGCTGTGCTGAGGTGTTGTAATTAAAAAACTAAGCAAAGCGCTTGTTCCCCAGGATACGGCATTTCTTGAAAACCAAGACTTGAGATCACAAGTTTTTTGAAACAGATGATACTTTCCTCAGTCCAGATACAATAAGCATGTGACATCACCTCATCCTATATAGGAAGAATCCCTACATTACTTTGTAATGGAATTTTTTTCATAATATATTTGATAACAACAAAAATTATGTGTATTTCCTTTAGTTCTCTGAAGCACAAAGCAAAATAAATTAATGGTGTCCTCATAAAAAGAGGGGTTAAGGAGGGGGTATGGAGATTAAGGAATTTTAGTCAGTTTTCAGATCAGCTCCATATATTATAAATGGCCTTAAGCAATGCCTTTGTGTCTTACCTCTCCATCACTGAAATGGAGTAACTTATTGTTTTCCAAAGACTGAAATCCACTAATAGAGATGCAAGCCTCTGTGAGCTGATATGCTCAGAAATTATTGTCATGAATGCCCACTTAGCAAAGCAGAACTACAGATTTTTCCAGGGGGACAAAAGCTAACTTGCTTTCTGTTGCAATTTCACACTTCAAATTATTCAGACTGGCCAAAGAAAGGAGGTCATCAAGCATTTATTTCGATTGGGATGTCAATGCATGCACACACAGGCACCACACTTGCTCTTCCTCTTCTGAGGCAGTCAGAGGATTATTCTGGAATAGTGAAACACTAATAGCTATTTTAATGGCTAAAACAAGAACAGTTGGAGTGGAAAGAGCTAAAAGGTAACTGTTAGAAGTACATCTTCCCAGCAAAAGTCCCTAGGAGCTCCAGTGACAAAGAGGACCCTTATTGAAAACAAGTGTTTTGCCAATGAATTTGTTGAAACTGAATGAAACAATTAATTTAGGCACTTACTTTAGCCTTGCAAACATTGCAGGTATACTTTAGGCTCACGCAGTTTTATTCAAATGCTTAAATTAAACAAAAGCTTAAATACTTAAAGGTTTTTTTAAGGGAAACTTCTAATTTAAATGCAGCATGAAGAATGAGAATTAAAAAATGGATCATTACTGCAAACAAAGAGCTGAATAGCTTACAAGATGGAGGCGCTGAACTAGAATTACTTAAGTTTCTCATGAGCAATGTTCTCACATCTTTACATGACTGCTCTTAGATGATGCGTGCTCTGCTCTAGGTAGTCAGATCCAATAACTGTCAGATTCAAACATGCAATGGAAATGATTCTGCCCTTAGCATCCTGGGTTTGTGGGGAAGTGGGGTAATCTACTAGAAAAATATTCCACAGAACGGCATATAACATTGAGCTTACTAAACAAAGTCACTGAACAGAATTTTAGCAATTTTGAAAGGTGTTGAGATTACTCATATTTCCACTCCACTCTTTTGAATCTATTAAACGTACATAAATGCTCAAGCAATAACATGCTGAGCTCCATCCATACAGTAAAGCAGTTGAAAAAACCAGTAATCTGTATTTTGAAGTTACTGTACAAACCAAGGACTATCAGTTACTAAAATACTGAAGATGGTTTACACTGCCTAGGTATCACCGGTTCGGCACCAGCATTTTTAGTGCTAAACCAAAAAGGCTAAAGAATTTGCCCTGTAGCCAAGACGTACATAGATATACCACAAAGTTCCCAGGATTTTCCACAGCTTGCTCCCTCCCCAGGACTGTCTCTGCCTGTGTGCTCCCACCAGCCACTTCAGCCTCGGCCCAGCCTCACCTCACTCTCACACGCAGCAGAGCAGCTGGTACTGGAGATGCCAAACGCGACCGCCTGCAAAGGGGCTCGGCTCTTACATTGGAAGAGTTTTATCCATGGCATTGCTGTCCCATAAAAAGAGTGTATTAGAGACAAAGAGTGAAGGAGAGCCACGAGGTTACACTGCTTTGAACACTGGCTCTGCACAGCTCCCATGGTGTGGAGAACGAGAGGCAGCAGCTGTGATTATGCCAAGAACCAAACGGAAGGAACTACAGGATCTTCATCTGCTGGTTCCCTAAACATGTGCGTGCAACATAGCAGAGCTTTTGTCTCTTGGATATAACTCGGAATACCAGTAACTGTGTGTATCAAGCAATTGGTTTGTAGCCTCCCTAGGAGGGGTAAGGAACAAGGATGTGCATTTCTTAAGCTCTGCTTCTGACTGCCTTCCTTGCTTTCATCTATTATTCTACTTAAATAGGAAATACATTCATTTCAGCTATGTTGCTCTGTTTAGAAAAAAAAATGAAGAAACGTTAAACACACAAGTTTATGTTTTTCTCTTATATTTTCACAGTATCTTGAAACACTGCAAAGCTGTGACACCACAAAGCATGTGCAGCCATAAACCATCCAAGAGAAAATACACACTGGAACGTTTTATTAAGAACATTCATCGCAAGATCTGCATAATCCTTGCTTCCTGAAGTCACTCGCTGATATTTCTGCTGACAGGATAGTCAAGATTCAGTGTTTTATAACCTCTTCCTCAGAGCAAGTGCGCAGCACGACTTCAAACGGAGCACAAGCTAACACGCCTGCTTTACAGTTTTACATCGATCACTAACTATTCAGGATATTCGCAAACGGGCAGTGGAGCGAGGGGCCCGGCCGGCACCTGCCCGCTCCCCCCCGGCGCCGGACTCGCCGTGAGGGGACAGAGCCCCCTCGGCGCCTGCCCACGGGCACGCAGGAAATGGCAGCACCCGCCCGGCCCCCCCGCATCCGCATCCTCCTCCTCCTCCTCCCCCGGCGAGGGCGGGCGGGCGCCGGGGAGCGCGGCGAGGTGTGTCCCAGGTGGCCGGGCTATATGAGGCGGCGCGGCGGGGCGGCGGGCTGGCTCCATGGCGGCGCCGGCCATGGCCGAGCCGCGCTCCAAGCGGCCCCGCGTCACCCTGCCCGCCTGCCCCGCGCACCGCCCGCTGCCCGCCAGCCGCGTCCGCCACGGCTTCCCCGCCGCCGTGGAGGAGGCGCTCTGCGGCGTCACCGGCGCCCAGCTGGAGCTCCACTACTGCCTGCAGGCGCTGGTAAGGGCGGCGGGGCGCGGGAGGCGGCCGGGGCCGCGGAGTGGGACCCCCCGCGCCTGCCCGGGCAGCCACCGGCGGCGGGGCGAGGAGGGTCTCGGAGCGGGGCAGGGACGGCGGAGCGGTGTCTGTTCCCAGACCCAGGGTATTTGGGGGCTCTCCCTGCCAGAGTCGCTGCTGCCCCTGCGGCGACACGGCCGCAAAAACAACGACGAAGGTTGTAGCATCACGCGGGCGATGAAACGAGCGCTCGTGTATTTTTGGGTAATTCACAGAGTTCTGCCTGTGGAAAGAGGGACAGGAACAGGGAATGCTAACAGCTCTGGAGTATGACTCGAGTGGCTTTTTTTACCCCAAACTTCGTATGTAAAATAGTTGTGTGTGGTTAACTGTGGATGTCGCTGCCGGCTTAGGGTTTTTTGCTCCATAGCATGAACTTTGGACATGAAATTAAAAAAATTATCTCTGATACCATGTAACATGCGTGCCAAAATTACATCTGGCTACCTATCACGTGTTAAGGCAACATATATTTTAACACAGCCATTAAAATATAAAAATTAGAATGATCAGTGCCATACCTTCTGATGCTAAGCATCCACTGGGAAGCAGTAAACTGTATTGAATATATCTCCAAGATCCTTCAATTGAGCTTGGTGTCAAGTATTAGTTCAATAAAAACTTAAGTATGCAGTAAACCCTCTACCTGCTAAGCCTGTAGATGATAAAAAAAAATTCTAGTGATTGGCAGCAGGATTGGATGGAGAAAGCTCAATTAACTATTCAGGATGTTCACATGTCTAGATTTGATTTATCCACAGTCAATTTCTAATTACTGACATAAAAGATTTACCTTAACAGTTAAGTAGATGTGTTAACTTGTGCTCCACTTGAAGTCATGCCTCTCACTTGCACTGAAGAACTGATGGTAAAACACTGAATCTTGACTATCCTGTCAACAGAAACATCAGTGAGTGACTTCAGGAAGCAAGGGCTATGCAAATAATGGCAGTGAATGTTCTTAATAAAACATTCCAGTGTGTACTTTCTCTTGAAGAGTTTGTGGTCCCACATGTGTACATATGTCACAGTGGCCATACAAATAGAACAAATAAACATAAACTTGTACTGTGTGTTTAACATTTCTTCATTTTTTTTCTAAACAGAGCAACATAACTGAAATGAATGTATTTCCTATTTAAGCAGAGTAATAGATGAAAGCAGGGAAGGCAGGCAGAAGCAGAACTTAAGAAATGCACATCCTTGTTCCTTACCCCTCCTAGGGAGGCTACAAACCAATTGCTTGATACACACAGTTACAGGTATTCTGAGTTATATCCAAGAGACAAAAGCTCTGCTGTGTTGCACACACATGTTTAGGGAACCTGTAGTTCCTTCAGTTTGGTTCTTGGCATAATCACAGCTGCTGCCTCTCGTTCTCCACACCATGGGAGCTGTGCAGAGCCAGTGTTCAAAGCCCGGTGGCTCTCCTTCGCTCCCTGTCTCTAATACACTCTTTTTATGGGACAGCAATGCCATGGATAAAACTCTTCTAATGTACGAGCTGATAGATCTGTTAGCAAAGTTAAATATGGCAGTGGTTAAAGTTGTTTTCCCATCCAGAACAGAACAAGGCCTGCAGTGGATTTAGGGTTGTAATACTTCTGCAATCACAGAATTGCCTGAGCTGGACAGGATCTCAGAGATCATCTAGTGCCATGCCAAGGACACCTTCCACTAGACCAGGTTGCTGAGAGGTCCAGTCTGACCTTGGACACTTCAGGGATGGGGCATCCATATCTTTCCTAGGCAGTTTGGTCCAGTACCTCACTACCTTCACAGTAAACAATTTTTTACTAATATGTAATCTAAACCTGCCCTTTTTTCTGCTTGAAGCCATTCCCCCTGATCCTGTCACCACCTGCTCTCTCCATCTTTCTTGTAGGCTCTCTTCAGGTATTGGAAGGCCACAGTCAGGTAACCCTGAAGCTTTCTCTTTTCCAGGCTGAACAATCCCAGTTCTCTCAGCCTTTTCTCATAGGAAAGAATTCAGTCAACCTGGGGGCCCTCCTCTGGACTTGCTCCAATGTCCCTCCTGACATGCCTTCCTAGGCATGAGCTACGTATAATGAAAGTGTATACAGAATAGTTAAGTAGCAGTATTCATTATTTTGGAATAACATCCATAATGAAGCTGATAAATAGATACGAAATTATGCTTCTTCTCTTTTTGGTATTTACATCATCTTTCTCATACCTCTGAAAGCCAACTTTTGATTGGAATGCTGACCTGCAGGGATAAATTTTATGTTTGCTGTGCTGAGAGTATGTTTAAAAAACAAAACAAAAACCCTAGACAAAACACAATTACAAAACGCACACATGCTAACCACTCATAAATAAAACATTTTGAGGATCTCTGACTGCTAATGAGAGAGTGACATCAGTACTACAGTTGCCTGTCCAGTATTAAAGAGCAGGAGTTCTAGTAGAAGTACAGACATTTTTCCTTTCAGGACATAATTACTTACTTCATTTATTGTAGAAATTTGTGACCTTTGAATTAAGGTCTCCAAAGTTCTAAAAAGCCAGGTTGTTCTGCAAGTGAGTCCCATCTCCAGCAAATCTTAATGCTCTTGTTTTGTGTGCTTAGGGTGAATATTTTGATCAGTCGCATGTGGCTCTACCAAATATTTCAAAGTTCTTCTTGCATCAAGCTCTGGAAGAGAGAAAAGCCGCAGAGGCATTGATGAAGTATCAGCAAGAAAGAGGAGGCCACTACTGTTCTAAAACCATCCAGGTGGGTAGTAGACAACAAGCTTTCAAGCAGCTGCAGTCCATTTACCTTATTGAATTATATTGTTGTACTTCAGATCTCTGTATTCATCCATTATGAGATTTCCAGATATAATTTACCTGACAGTGTACTCAGTTTTGCTCTCGATTGTGATGCTTAGAAACTGTCAGACATACAGTCCTAACACTATGTGGTTGCATTCTAGCCTAAAAGAATATGAACAGTGTTCTCCTTTTCTCTTATTCAGCTGGACACTACTATTTCTAGTGTGCTGTAACAGATTATGAGACTCCTTAAACTGTGCTGAAACTGCCCACTTGTCTCCTTCACACTAAGGAGAAGCCTAGACATGATTAGCACCTAAGAAAGGTGGTAAGGAAGGAGGTAGAAGAAACATCCAGCTTAAGGCAGTAGTTGATTTGCTAAAGCATAGCTCAGGACAGAATTGGAACTACAGATTTAACTTGGGCTTGCACAGGTGCACAGTTGCAAAACAGTAACTCAGAGTTTTCAGGGGAAAAAATAACCCACCTCATTTATTTAAGACTAAAGGGCTGATTCTCCTCTACCAAATTAGTTTTCTGTAAATAGTTAATACAGAATGCTCTTCTTTGGTCCATCATAGCAGTTGTTAAGCTGTAGAAAGTAAAAAGGCCATTGTGAAAATCTTTCTAAATAATCAGTTTGAAATGGAGAAGACCTTAGGGTGACCTTTCAGTACTGAAAGAGAGTGGGTTTAGATTAGGAAGAACCTCTTTACTGTGAGGGTGGTGAGACACTGGAACAAGTTTCCCAGAGTCGTGAATGGCCCACCCCTTAGAGTGTTCAAGACCAGGCTGGATGGGGCTTTGAGCAGCTTGGTCAAGTGAAAGGTGTTCCACAGCAGGGGATTGGAACGAGATGGTTTTTTAAGGTCCCTTCCAACCCCAGCCATTCTATGATTGGGTTTCCTGGTGTAACAATGCTCCTCAGGCATAGCTGCTGCTATCTAAATCCATTCCTTGAAAAAGTGCTTGGGCCCTGCTACTTGAGTGTGTTCACAGCCATGGCACTCTGCAAAAAGTAGATGCTCCAGACCAGGAGTTGTTGAAAAAACCTAGTACAACTTGTTTGGAGTGCAATTAAGTTGCAGGAAACCACTGATGAATACAGTAAGATCAACTGTTCTGAATAAACATAATTCTGTCTTTGTTTTTAGAAACCAAACTGTGATTATGCAGTCGGTCTGATGAAAGCCCTGGAATTAGCAATGGTACAGTGGAAAACTATGCTACGATACTTTGAAGAGCTTTATGCCCTGAGTGTTGAAAATGCAGACCCTCATAGTGCAAGCACTATGAAGAAGCAATTTATTGCACCCAAAATCCGGAAGATCAAGCTAATGGGAGATCTACTGACCAATGCTCGCAGGCTTGACTGTTCCCAAGATGGCAGGAATAGTCTTGGGGATTACTTCATGGACCGGTTGCAGAAAGAGTTCAGAACAAGCGTAGAGCCAGAGCCTAGTGATCACTGCAGCCCCTGCCAGCCTCTGCAGCAGTGCACAGGAGCTGCAGAAGGTCTGAAGCGACCCCAGAGAGAATCTTCCCAGCACAGAAATGGCATAGGGCCAATATATGCAACCATACACTGCACTGCGATGCTGCCACAGTGTAACGATGGGACAGGAGCAAAACTGAAGCAGAGCAGGGAGGGCCTTTAATGCTGTGGCTACTACGGGGCAGCTCCTAAGGCAAACCTGTACAGAGGGTGGAGTTGGGACCAGAACTCAGGAGACATGATCCTGTATCACTCCTGTTTTACGCCCTGCCCCCTCATCCTCTCTTGAGTCACAGCTCAAAATCTAGCCCATGCCGTTATTTTGTTTAAATGATAGCAAGGTTGCCAGCTACCTAGATTGTCAGCACTAGTCACACTTATCTATGCAATTCTTCCTAGAAGCCAAAAGCTTTTTAAGATTCTTTTCTGTTTTAAATGATTAACAGGATTATTTAGTGCAAATTTTTAAAAATATATAATTTTTATGGAAAAAAAAAAAAAAGAAACCACTGCACCCTTAGTACAAGGAAACTTCTTTGTAACAGAAAATCCAAATATTTAGTTTTATATTCCTGAATATTTTATATTCCTGAATACATATATTAGATATTTTGTATTACTAACAAGTATACTAGCATAATGAAGTTGTTTTTAAAATGACTTGGTTTAAAACAAAGTTTTCTTATTTCTATCATAGTAGCAATTTAAATAAGTAGTCGAAATAATTTACTTATCAGCTGTTCCTAGTGGTATACTTCTTCAGGATGAAGGATGCAAACATTTCCTCAACACTGGGTATAAGAAAACACGCTGGTTTTCTCTATAGTTATGTGCCTAGTTGGCTTTTCTCATTGTCAGAAAACACATGAGAGATAAATTAGGAGTTCTCATTAGCTGAGATCTTTAAAGGTTCTACTGGGTACTTTGCAAGTGTCACTGAAGACACTAGCTCTAGGGCTCTGTCCAGACTTAACCTAGGAGGGTTGCTTTAGTTATCTTACAGACCCCTATTTCAGCTAGCACAGTTATGGTATTACTATGGTACTCCTCCTATTTCTTGTATTCCCTATTTGGTCCCAAATAGAGGCATAAGATCCTAGTGAAAAAGCAGCACACTTAACTAGAATTGCATCAGAGAGAGCAGCCACTCATTAAGTTTTGCCTTTCAGCTGGGGCAGTATTAGCCAGCTTGGTTAAAGTGCAGAAGTTCAGAGGTGTCTGAATTCTTTTCCTTGGTCTCCTGCAGGAGTGCCTTGCCTTTTCTACCCTGGCTCCCAAGGTCACCCAAGAGCAACTGGCTAGACCAGCTGCCTGCAGCTAGGGTTTGGGGGTTTTTTGTCATTATACAGAACATCCTTTATGCAATTGGGGTTTGATTTATTGAAAGACTGCCTCACACTTTTATGTAATACTGTAAGTGATACTCCTATTATGCTTGAAAATAAATTCAGTTCAATGTTACAAATGGTTCTTTGCATCTCCATTTTATTCCTCAGTTCACCACCCAAGTATGTTGGTATTATTCTCCAAGAGATTTTGCATATGTTTACAAAACTTCACCAGTATTTTTCTTCATCCAAGAAAGCTGGATAGAAGAGTATGCCACAGAGTGAAAATAAATGCCAGAAAACTTCATTACTACAAAAACACTGCACAATGAAACATTTTCAGTAAACTGCTGTTTATACACAGCTGCAGTTGAATAGCAATTTTTGCAAAGCCCACCTACTTTCTATTGGTGGTCTAACATGGGACAGACCATTACAATGTAGATGCTTTCCCAATCTTTCTGTTAATGGAATTTAACATTTGTGGAGCGGGGACACACAACCACTTTAAAACAACCTCTGTATTCATCCATAAGAGTACTGCAATGTGCCACAAGAATGGCTCAAAGCACTTTAACCAATATGCTAGGTTTGCCTATGTTGAGATGGCTGCTCTCTAAAACAGCAGTAGTTTAAAAGATATTTCCAACTGGGCTAGATTCCATCACCCATCGTCATGCTGAGCATACCTTATTCAACAATTAGTTCCACTGACTGCAACTCAACGTGAATAAGAGCAATGGAATCCGTCCCTCTCAGTATTAAAATATAGCTCAGTAAGTGTGAACAGAGAAAAGCTACTAACTGAAGTATAAACTAGTGCCATATAAAACCCCTTCAAACACTACTGGTAATGTTTGACCTATTTCTACAACCACCTTCTCCTTTAAGAGTTGGTACCTTCTGAAATGTAGGTACAGTCTCCTCCATGGTTTCCAGCACTTAAGACTGTTTTTTACCTTAAGCTAATTCCAACATAACAACCCAACATTGAAATTTTTCAAAGCAAGACTTACCTCTTATTTTTCTGTGAAATACTACCGTGTCTGTTTCTCAGGCTTCTCATATTCATCTTCTAGCCAAATGTATCCACAGATTCTCATAATTTAGGTCTTTCCCTTTTCCAAAATCACATTCTGGACGCTCTGCCTGAAAAGACAGATAAACTCCCAATCAGCAGTTTTCCCAGTCTCTATCTTCTGAAAAAGAGAAATCAGTCAGTTACTGTAGATAATAAGCTCTTCTTGTCCACATGCTGCTTCTGCTGAGAGGGGACGTATGCTTGTGAATATGGTCTCAGATTTGTTAATAATACCTGTCTGTTATGTATAAGGTGAGTCTGTCCATGCTTCTCAGCGTAAGTACAATCTGCCTCTGACTTCCCATCTTCCTTTTCAATCACCTCATAAAAAAAAAAAAAGGAGATGAAGGATGAAATGTGGAACAGGTATAAGGGCAATGGTGCTTGTAGAAACTTTACAAATTCTCCTTCTCTGCTGAATGCTTGTTCGTACACACTCTCAGTGTACTTCCAAAGCAATGCCCAAACCATCCAAACACAGCAGCTCTGAACAGCTAGTTCCCTCAAGATATTCCAAACTGGAATCTCTGGAGAGACCTAATCTTTACTGAAATTATGAATTACAGCCACAGAGGCTTCCAAAGAGCTTTAACAATAGAATATTTGTAATACTCGCCATAAGCACTAGCTATGGTTTCTGACTCTCAGTGAGGAATGCACTTAAAGCCTCCAAGTGGAGATCATGCTGTCCTTCATCCTCTTCACTATGGCCACATAAAACTGAGATAAGCATTTCTGGATTTGTTCTTTGCAAGGACTTTTTTTCAGGCCCCACTGTATAAGGCAACATCTTTCTGGACAAATGTGGAAATACTGGAAAGTAGATGTTAGTTCTGATGGCAGCGGCAGGGAATCACAGAATTGTTAGGGTTGAAGGGACCTCTGGAGGTCATCTGGTCCAACACCAGAGGAAGGTGTCCTCAAGGACACCTTCACTGGAAGATCACTGCACGGAATGCACCATCTGGTCATGGTCTTCTCCTGACCTTTGCACTTGGGTGGGTTCATGCACTTAAGTGCATTCATAGGCAAATACTGGCAAACTCCTCAGCGTGCTTGTCGAAGTCCCACCATTTGTTACCACATTGCCCAAGGTAAACACTACATGCTCAGGTACCAGAGTATCTTTTCCTGAGGTTACATACAAGCTAGAAATGAGCAGTGGCAGAATAGGCTACAATACTGACTAAGTATTAGATAAAATTGCCTTTTCCACAGATTAAACTAATGGTCTGGAAAGATTTTAAATGTCTAGAATGGGTCAGACTGCCAGCACCAAGCCTTGATATCCCAATTTACATGTTTAGTTGTTACAGTATGTTACAGCATACAACTATTTCTCATTTATACTTACTTTGCATTATTGTATACCTGGCACTACTTTGAATACAAATTATTTTTACTTTATTAACTGTTCAATAAAGATTTTAAAATAAATCATAGTATTCCTTCTGGATCAAAGAACCTGTGTAATAACAGTGAAGTGTTTCCACAAGCTTGCCACGCTAGCTCTCAGAAAACAGCTGGGAGATACATTTCTAAATGTGTAAGGGTGGTCAATAGCCGATCTCCTTGGGACATATCAGTTTTCACCACTGGATACAGTGAAAGAGCGGACTTGTATAGAGTCCAAAACATATAGGTTTATCGTTAAATAAAACTTTTATCTTTTGGGGATAATGACAGAAGGTGACTTATAGTTTTTACTGTTGTCTGTACTTGAAAACATTTAAGTAAAGAGAAAATGGGGATTTCTGCAGATTAGGAATTTTTGCAAAAAAAACAGATCATGTAACAACAAAAGAAACCACCATCACAACAACCCCTATGAGAAGTCATAGGCACATGGACTGGGGATTGATAATTGATGGATGTCTTTTACCTTTTCAGATTCTGTCAGTCCTTGCCCCACTGAAGACAGAGCTTTGCCATTGATTTTGAAAGAGTTGATATTTATAACTGCAGAACAGAGATTAATTTTAGCTCTTCATACATCAAAAATATGCATAACTATTTTAACCATGAAGTCAACAAAATCATGTAGTTGAGTTACTGAAGTGCCTCTGAAAAGAACCTAATTTCTCATATCAAACCATATTCCAAAATGGAGTAAAAACTATTAGCACCCTTGAGAGGCATTACCAAACCCCATCCTATTCTATAGAATCATAGAATCAGCCGAGTTGGAAAGGACCTGAGATAACCAAGTCCAACCCTTGGTCCAGTACTACCAAGCTTCTCCAAGCTCCAAACTGCCACTGCTAGAAATAAGCACTTAATGCACAAGCAATCCAACTGCAGTGCAAAACGCCTCTGCGCGGGGTCGACTCCACCTCTTCAAAGGTTTCAGAATAAAGGTAAACAGAGGCTCGAGCTGAAAGAGGAACCTGAAATGCTAATTTACTCAGGGACACCTGATTCCCGACGGGAAAAGCCGACACTGCCCCCCACGGGCGGCCCGGCCGCCTTGCGGGTCCCGCGGCCACGACCTGCCCGTCGCGCTGCTCCCGCACGGTCCCGGGTGTCCGCCGCGCCTCGGGGCCGTGCGGGGCGGCTCAGCCCCGGCTCTCCGCGGTGTCCCCGGCCCTGCCACCGCCCGCTCTCACGAATGCCCCCGCAGTAGTTACCCTCGTGGCCGCAGAGCCGCGGCCGGCGCGGAGAGACCTGTCCCGGCGCTGGGGGCTTCTCCCCCGGGAGAAGCCAGCGGAGCCGCCGCCGGTGTGCGGTGCCGTGCGGGGGCAGCGGGGCGCGCCGCTGTTCCCCCCGGGGCGGGCGGGCGGCGGTCCCGGCACCTCCCGGCAAAGGGACGCCTCGCTCCCCCTGGCGCACTGGCAGCGCGGGCTGCTTGGAGCGAAAAAGCGGGGGGGGAAGAGCCCTCCGCTCAGCCGAGCGCCCGGGGCGGCTGAGCTTGGGGCTGCCGGGCTCAGCGCTGCCCCAGCGCCCGCGGGACACCGCGCCCCCCCCGCCGCCCCGGTCCCCGACCCGCCCGGCCGCGCCCCCGACCCGCCCCGTTCCGACCCGCCGCGCCGGGGGGCTCGGCCATAAATACGGCCTCGAGTGGCGCTCCAGGACCGGCGCGGCTGGGGAGGGGGCCGGGGCAGCAGGCAGCGCTGGTGGCCTCGCCCAGGAGAGGCTGCGAGGGTCTCTGCTCTCCGCACCCGCCCGGCCACGGAACCGCCCCGTCGAAGCCCCCTCCTTTCTGATCCCCTCGCTCTTCCCTCTGGCCCAGCCGCTGTCCCCTCCGCTGCCCCCATGGACTTACTGGGCCCCATGGAGATGACGGAGGGCTCCCTCTGCTCCTTCACGACTGCTGATGACTTCTACGATGACCCGTGCTTCAACACATCAGACATGCACTTCTTCGAGGACCTGGACCCCAGGCTGGTGCACGTGGGGGGTCTTCTGAAGCCCGAGGAGCACCCGCACCACCACGGGCATCACCACGGGCATGAGGAGGAGCATGTTCGGGCACCCAGCGGGCACCACCAGGCTGGCCGCTGCCTGCTGTGGGCGTGCAAGGCTTGCAAGAGGAAGACCACCAACGCCGACCGCCGCAAGGCCGCCACCATGAGGGAGCGGCGGCGGCTCAGCAAGGTCAACGAGGCCTTTGAGACCCTCAAGCGCTGCACCTCCACCAACCCCAACCAGCGCCTGCCCAAGGTGGAGATCCTGCGCAACGCCATCCGCTACATCGAGAGCCTGCAGGCCCTGCTGCGGGAACAGGAGGACACTTATTACCCTGTGCTGGAGCACTACAGCGGGGAATCGGATGCCTCCAGCCCCCGCTCCAACTGCTCCGACGGCATGGTGAGTGCCCCAGGGAGGACTCCCTGCCACCAAGGTGCCCTGAACACTGTCAGTCCAAACCTGAGCAGGGCATGTCTCTTCCTGCCTTTCCTATAGCAGCTGCCTTCTGTACCTCTCCAGGCAGAAGACAAAGCCCTTTCTCATGCCTTGAACTCCCACAGCAAAGGGAGGTGGGGTTCCCACATCCCACAATCTCAGGGTAACAGGAAAAATCTTTTACACACTTTTTTCCCTGGGATAAGAAGTTAAGCAGGTCCCCCTGTGTCCTGGGGACTTTGGAAAGCACTTTAGGAAGTTGCCTGGGATGGGTACCTGGGGGCATGGTGAGGTCTGAGCCCTGCCTGTGCTCTTGTATCTCCTAAGGCATCTCTTGTGTCCATCTTCTGCTGTATCGTTATCTTTGAATCCTCTATGGATTCAAAGCAGAGAAGAAGGGCCCTCCTGGACATAGTAGCTACACGGGAATCTTGTTTTCTGCCTTTCATCAGGATAGCAGGAGGAGGGTCTAAGCAACAGGACTTGTTTCTCTTGACCCGTAAGAAAAATGTTCTCTATTTCTCTTCTCACTCACTTCATCCCCTCCATAGACATTTACTAGCAATGGGAAGGAGAATCCAGGCTTTCAGTGGTGTTTGTACCTAATGGGAATGGGAGAAGAAGGGTGAGGGCCCAAGAGGGTGTCTCATCATCATATCTTTTGACTGGGACTATAGGTTCCAACTCTGGTCTGACTGTGGGGTGTGGGACACAGTGACTGGAGTGCAGGACAGATGTCTGGATGGGATATCAACAGCATTTTAAAACTGGAGATTGTTTTCTGTGCTCTGGTGGAAATAATCATTACTGAGTTGAATATCTGTGATTATGAGATAGTTGACAGGTTGAAAAAAAGATTTACACAAATGATCCCTCTTTTAACAGAAAGAGTAATTTCACTGGGGATTCAAGTAATGGAAACAGACATATTGGTCAGTGTTTTGGAGCTTTTTCTGTACAAAATGGAAATGGGAAAAGAAACTAAAGGCAATACAAAGGAACAAGGGTAGACAGAGGCTTTTTAAGAGGAACTCATGTTTTGAAAATCTTCAAAACTAACTAAAAGACCTTATTGTCCTTTCAGTCTCCCTGTTCTAAACTGAAAATACATGTAAGGCTGTATCTGATCAGAATGCTGGAAGGCCTCATATCATCTGTAAAGCTTCAGCATTTGATGCAGTAGTGGTAACAGCTGTGCCACATAAAATATTCTGGATCCCCTTCTAGCTGTTATGTTCTTCCTCATTCAAAGAAACTACAACTTGATGGCATTTCAGCCAGGACTGGAATGATGGCCCAGACCAAGGACTGAAATATGAATTTAGATGGTTATTGGGATTTCTGTAAGGGCAGTGACCTCACTCAGATTTCTCTCTTTTCCAGATGGAGTACAGCGGGCCTCCTTGCAGCTCTCGCCGAAGAAACAGCTATGACAGCAGCTACTACACGGAATCACCAAATGGTGAGTACGTGCCGTAACAGCAGTGTGGAACACGGAGACAGAGGCAGGCAGTGCAGCAAACTGCCCTGTGCCTGCTCTGTCTCCAGCTGGGCTGAAAGAGGAACCTGCCTTTCCAGCCAGCAAGCTGTTGCTGCTTGAAGGGGCATTGAATTTCCTCTAGATGTATTTGCAAATACGAGTATATGTTATAGCTGCGTTTCCTATTTTGCAAATACAACATTTGGATAAAAGTATTTTCCTCTCTGTAACTAAGTTTCTGCGTTTAACCATGTTTTGCATGAAGATTCTTCCTACTCTATCAGTCTTTGATTCAAACTGGAGAAATTTCGGATTGATTTCAAATCTTGCCTTTCTATGGACTAAGTGAAGCCATGGCCTCAGAGCAGCACATTGTGGTTGGGCCTCTTCCATTTTGCAATTACAGTCTCTCTTTTCTGATAATTGGCATCCTTCACTAATATTAATTTCCTCTGAAACTTCACATACTCACAAATGTGTAACTGCCTACTGATGTTAAGTACCCACTGGATAATCTGAGCCCCTTTCTGTCTGTTTTTTAGATCCAAAGCATGGGAAGAGTTCTGTTGTCTCCAGTCTCGATTGCCTCTCAAGCATTGTAGAGAGGATTTCCACAGATAATTCCACATGTCCTATACTGCCTCCAGTGGAAACTGTTGCTGAAGGGAGTCCCTGTTCCCCCCCAGAAGGAGTGAGTCTAAATGATAGCGGAGCCCAAATTCCTTCCCCCACCAACTGCACCCCACTTCCCCAGGATAACAGCAGCAGCAACCCCATCTACCAAGTGCTGTAAGGGCTGGTCCAGCTGGACTGCACTGAAAACAATTTGCTCCATCTGGCCATGCTTGAGACCTGCCTTCTAAGATTGAAAAGACTTCTTAAGACTTATTCCAGTTTTAAAATATCACTCAAAATTCCTTCAAATATGTAACTTTTCAAACCTGTATCACTTCAAAAATACACATAGTTATTTATTGGTTGTTAAAGTTATTTAATATGTCTAGAGATAAAATTGTATACCACGAAATGGCCAATGTTTAATCTGGGCTGTGGGGAATAGGAACCTAGCTCTTGAATGTGGAGGAAAATGTAAATCTACAACAGTAGTGGCATGACAGATCCTTCCTATTAGTCCTGTTCTGGCCAAAATAAGGTTGTGGACCATTTTTTTTTAACTTTTTGTATAATTGTAAATAAGAGTTGCTTTGCCAAAAAAAAAAAAAAAAAACCAAACAAAAACAAGGATAAAAAAGAAAATAAAGAAAAAAGAAACAAAATCAAAAATTAAAACAAAAAGGGGTAAATTTAAAAATATTTAATATTGCTTGGTTTGTTGTGTCAAACTTTAACTTTATATATTTATACGATGTGATTGCCAAGAATGTTTTCAACAGTATTCTAAATAAAGACCCTTATTTATAAAATCTGTGGTGTTATCTTGACTTTCATTAGGGCATCTAGAATTACTAGTGCATTTAGGAGTGGTATTAGATTGCTGCCTTGGCAGGAAGAAGATACAGGCTCTGATTCAGCAAAGAAATCAAGAACATGCTTCAGTTGCACTGCTTTCAACTACTTTGCATAAATATGTTGCTGAAAAGGGATCTACTTTCTCCATATTCTATCTTGGTGATTTCTAAACCAAGACCTGGGCATCATAGGTCATTATTAAAGGGATCAGTAAATAAACACGTTTCTTCTGCTGCCCCCAAAATTTACAATTATATTATAGCACTTGGTCTTACAAAAATATATTGAAACTAGGGATCACAAAAAATTAGACTCTCCAAATTCCAGTGCAGCTACTGAAACTTAAAGTCATACAAGAGTATCTTACAAGACCCAAGTACTACATTTTTGGACAAATGTTCCCATTTTTTCATTCAACTTCTAATTTTCAGGTGTTTGTAACACACTCATGTATTCTCAGGTATTAGAAACTAATTGCAAAGGATTTTTTGTCGTAAAGTTCAAGTTATAGATCACAGTTTTCCTCAAGTTCATATTGGAATTTAGGCCAAAGATAGGCAGTTTTAATTTGGATTTGAACTTTATGCATCTCTGGCAGCACTGCTCCAGGGATTTACTTCTTGTTTAGAGCTCTCTAAAAATAACCAGTGGGCTGTGTTTCATTCAGTATATATGTGTAACCTTGAAAGCTTTCCATGCAACTGAAAAATGTTAAGCCCTGAGCAGGTTGTCATTGGAAAGTAACCATCAGGGCACTTCTGCTGGATAAGAATATTCAGCAGCTACAACCGGTGTGAAACAACCTATGATTTATGGCTTTTGTATAAACATAACAGTAAAATAAAAACAAAAAACACACTGAAAACCAATCTAGATATCGTCATCAGCTCTAAATACTGTGATGACAGATTAGTCATTGTATTCACTGTTAGGTCACTATTAAAGAGGGAATTTGTACAGCTCTTACCTTTCAAGCAGAAAAAGTAAAGAGGGAACAGTTAATTCCAGGGAATGTCTCTGACTCCTTTAATCATGTGTGGCCTTGAAGATCAATGTTCTGCGAAGAGCAAGCTGCCCTGTGTTGAACAGAGCAGCGCAGTTGCTTCTCCTTCTTCCTGTGGCAGAGTTGTGCTCCAAGCTTGCTGATTTTCCCTGTCCCAGAGGCACAGAAAAGGTAGCAGCCATGGGGATTTCTTCCACATCCAGGCGCTTGTGGTCACGATTGATGATAAATCAGTGTCGAGGCTCAGGACCATTCTTGTGGAGCAGGCCAGGCTCCCACGGATCAGAGGAGATTTCAAGGCAGGACTGCCCCCTCAGCATCTTCAAAGTCCAACTTCGTAAAGGTCTCCCATTGGTTTCACTATGTGCAGAAAACACTCCATCCCACGAAGATTGGGCTTACCTCTTTCATCTTTCCATTAAAAATAAAAATCAAATTAATTTGATTATGTGCTTATTCATACTAGCATGAAACAGGAGGGTCTCTACCGAGGTCAGAAAAATGGCCCAGGTTAGTTGGATGCCTGTTTACAAACACTAAAGAGAGACAGCTGCCTCACAAATCAGGGCCTCACACATCACCAACATTTTCACTGCCTTCAGCAAACACTTGATCAGGCCCACAGTGCAAAAAATACTTTTGTGAAATATTAAAGATCTTGTCATACCCATATAATTTGAGGTTGGTAAAAGTATCAATTTTACTCTCATTAAATGGCAACCAACAACATTGTGCCAGCTCAAGAACTACAGAGGCTCTGTATATACTGGCAGCACACAGTTTATGCCTGCCTTGCCAAAACACCCCACTTATGTGGGACACAACAGGGCGTACCTGGCTGTAAAGCTGGCACGGCAGAGCGGGCACAGAGCGCTTGTGCTCAACAATGTACACGTAGTTCCATGTGAAGTCATGTATATTGCATTTCACTGATTTATTTTAGCACCCAAGTTTCCACATACTGATGTTAATGTTACAACAGAGAACAGGCATTTAGCACATCCCAAAATAGATGGATGGATGATGAAGAAAAAATACCCATAGATTTCCTATGCAGAGCCCACCTTTCTCCCTTTGATGTCATTGAGAAAGGTCCACTGGAGTAGGGCCAAAGGCTATCGATGCTAATAAATACATTTTTAGGTTAAAAATATATTTAATTTGGGACTTAAATAAGGAAAATTTTTCCCTGTGTTATTTCTTCCTGTTTCTTTCAGAGGTAATATGTTTAAAACAAATGCCTGGACCTTCTCTACTCCCTTGTGCATCAAGAGGACAGGAAGTTACTGACAGAAGTATATCGCAGTCTGTGAGTAAGTAAATATTTTGCAGGTAGCAATATTTGATTCAGAGCTTGAGTATAGTTCTGACAGGGCTGAGGAGCAAATGTAAAACTGATCCAGCATTTACTAACTTTGGTTCTTAAACTAGGCTTCTGAAGATGTATTTAAGCATTTAGGGCTGATCCTACGAGACAAAGTCCAGCCTGCCTTGGTCTACAGAAACACTGCAGCATGGGCTACAAACAGTCTGAAATCTTCAGTTTATGCTACTCAGGTTCCAGTTCAATATTCTGCAGGATGGAGAACCTAAAGAAAGACAATCTGAGTTTAAAAAATCTGAATCCCGCAGATTGCACGGACATGTAAAGCCTGGGAGAAACTGGGGGTGACAGCAAACCAGACCATTCCTTACCCCCAGGTGCCTTGACAGGACAGTATAGAGCCCACCTGAATAGGGGTTTGGAGCTCTTCATTAAAGATATTACAATTATCTGATGTTTCATATGGAACACTGCCTCCAAAGGGAAAGTCATCCAGATACAGTTCAAGGAAAGTAACTGTCTTTGAACATAATGATAAGTACGTATTTTAAGAATGTTTGATTTGATTTGGTAACTTTGGAAAGCACTGCATGACAAACCTAGTATTACTGGTTTATCTTATTCAAACTATTGCTAGGGAAAAAGTGAAGAGGAATAAATTTATACTTCACTTATATATGGTAAGTGCTCTTATTTTAGATTTTATCAGGTAATTTGCATCAATGAGAATGAAAATGATCCTTTTTCTACTTTGAATATTTCATAACAAAGTGCAATAAAGTTGCTAGGTTTTCAAATAGCAATGTTAAACACCATTTCCCATATTACCATTGAAACTGCTACAGCAATTTTTCACATGCTGAACATTCAATTTTAGGGAAAAGATATATGAACTATTCCTGATACATTTTTTCCTTTTAAAATATTTCTTAGCTGTATCCAAAAATATTAAAGAAATATTGACAGTTGCTTTGCATCAGATGCTGCCCTTCTAAAATTACTTGTCATTTTCAACTCAAGATAAAGACCTTACAAACCGCCATGAATGTGGAAGCAAAAACACTTTTCATTTTACATTTCGTATTTTGCAGGGATATTTGAAAGGTTCAAATTATGCAAAGGGAAAAACCTGCTCATTTTACTTATAAAAATAGTATTATCATCTTCAGAAGAACTACATCTCAGAAGACAAGGAAACATTTGTACCTCATACCCCATAAATTTTAATGAGAAGAAATTAATATTTCCTATTTGTTTAAAAAATTTCAATTATTTCCTTGAAACCAGTGGCAAAACTTCCAACTTCAGTAGGAATAGTTTCAAACCACTGCACAGAATGTTGTCTGAGATAGCGTTCAGATAGCAGTGCAAAGCCATGACAAACTCATTGCTGCGTCCCTTTGCTCGTGCTCTGGTCGCTGACCCGTCTGTATCACAAGGCCTTCAGATACGCAGCTCCCCAGAGCACAACCCTCTGAACAAGCTGCCAGGCCTTAGTGCTCACCTGATCTTGAAAATACAAACCAGAAACTATCCCCATAATAGCACTGAAAGCCTACAACCGTTCCAAAACGCGTGGCTGACACGGAGCCTGTGATAGCAGGAGATGGTATGAAGGTCATCGCGCATAACTCGCATGTGGCAATCTTGGCTTCGCAAGCAGTAGGTGGCAAAATGGTCTTTGTACAGTCAGAGTGCAAATCTCTGACAACACGTCCTAGAGATCGTCTTGTGAGGCATATCCAAGTGCCTCTTTAAGCACTATTTACTAATGCTTCTTAGCTCACCTTCCCTCAGCCTTTCAAATCACTTTTTTTCCACTAAAACTGTTGAACAGTCAAAACTTCCTCTTGTGACCAATGCAGTGTGCTCCCCTCTCAACAGGTTTGTTGCACAACTGGGAATGCCATTAAGTGGAGACCTTTCAATATTTGAGATTTCAGGGCTAGTGAGGGAAAGAATGGTCCATAGCATAACACAGAAGAGCCTCCAGATAGTCCTTTCTCTCTCAGGACCCTCTCAGGTCCCACAAGGAATTAGGAACATGTCTGGCATAGAGCCACTTGGACCAGTAAAAGGAATGCAGACATTTCCCTATGGACACAGAAATCTCCCTATTGCATACACAGACACTTCTGAATTCAGACCTTAACACTGTAACTTAATGGTGAAAACTGACCTATTCTGTAATCACTGGGTGATAGAAAACCTCAGGGTTTTCCCAATAATACAGTCAGCGTGGCACTGAACTCCCATTTTCTCTCTAAAACATCAATAACTTTTATCTTCTACAAGCATCTTAACATCAGCAAGGGTGCTATTTTATGTAATAATCAATAACCTCATATTTATCAATAGGGAGGCAAACACTGTAAGTATTTATAAAAAATTTACTAAAAACTCTGACAGACAATAACCTTGAGGATTGAGAGACATTACTCAGAAGACCGAGGGAGGTTGTGGTTTTGGTTGGGGTGGTGGGGTGTTGTTTTTTTTTTGTTTGGAGTCAGATTCATTCAGAGGTCTGTGTCTTGGCACAGTTACCTAGTGCTGCATGTCCACTGCAGTAAAAGGGGGTCTCCCAATCTCCACAGTCCTCCCTAACACAGCTGAACTGACCTTGAGCCTTTTGTGGTCCAACAGCCACATCTGCTGGGCAAGATGTAAACTGCATTTCTCCCTGAAATTGTCACTTAGTGAATTCCATGTTCTATCATCTTCCTATAATGGAAAATTTGTTGGCGCAGAAACAGCAAAAATATTTACAGTCTTCATTCAGCACCTGGAGCCCCCTACACTAGGAACAGCAGGAAAAATATATTGGGAAAGCCAAACTCTTCCCTACCAAGCACCTTCTACAAAAACTGAGAGGAAAAAAATGTAGGAATAGTTTAACTGGATTTTTTTTTTTAATACTGCACACATTTGGGGTTACTACTCTATTTCATTTTGTTTTAAGTAAAAAAGAAAGACAAAAGGGAGAGAGAAAATGGAAGGTCTCTGAAAGCATTATATGGCCTATTCTGTTGAGCAATGCTCCTGAGGGAGACAGGTTGCTTACCAGAAGGCGGGTGGAGCAGATGCACAGGAAGAGGAGATGACAGCAAGACCACAACGCAATCTTCTGGTGACCAAGCCCCTCATTAGGGCCCAAATCGTGGTCAGAAGATCAAGGGAGGTGATTCTCCCCCTCTACTCTGCTCTGGTGAGACCCCACCTGGAGTGCTGCATCCAGTTCTGGGCCCCCTAGCACAGGAAGGACATGGACCTGTTGGAGTGAGTCCAGGGAAGCGCCACCAAGATGATCAGAGGGATGGAGCACCTCTCCTATGAGGAAAGGTTGAGAGAATTGGGATTGTTCAGGCTGGAAAAGAGAAGGCTCCAGGGAGATCTAATTGCAGCCTTCCAATACCTGAAGGGAGCCTCCAAGACAGATAGAAAGGGACTATTTTCAAGAGCATGTAGAGACAGGACAAGGTGGAATGGCTTCAAACTGACAGGTTTAGCACAGATATTAGGAAAAAAATCTGTATTTGAGGGTGGTGAGGCACTGGAACAGGCTGCCCAGAGAAGCTCTGGATGCTCCATCCCTGGAAGTGTTCAAGACCAGTTTGGACATGGCTCTGAGCAACCTGGTTCAGTGCAAGGTGTCCTTCCCCACGTCAGAGGGGTTGGAACTGGATGGCATTTAACGTCCCTTCCAACCCCAACCATTCTATGACTCATTTTATGATTCTATGAAATCACCTTGGTGTGCACAGTAACCCCCACCCAGCATACAGGTGTAGAATAGCACAAGCTGAGAATCAGTCCTGCCCATTTGGAAAGACCATCTGAAGCCATGCAAGGGAAAGGTAAGCAAGTGTAGAGGGGACTATCTAAAGATCTCCTACCTTGTAGTTTGGCCATTCCTTTCTTTCACACTGATATTTTACTTCTGAATCCTAAACCTAATCAATCAATACCTTTCTGTTATCCATGTATTTGCTTTTTTCATGCCATCTGTGGGTTTCCGAGGTTGGAGCCCTACACAATCCATGTGCCTGTGGTACTAGGAGGTACTTTTGATTGCTGCTACTTGCTGTAGTGTTAAAGGAGAGTACATTATGACTAACAAGTAGTGCGTGCGCTTTTCTCCAGACCACCGGAGGGCAGCATTTCCATGAAAAAGAGGACTTTAGTGCATTCATTTTTATTTTTCCTCACCTTTCCTATAACTTTTATAAACTCTTCCTCAGCTCAAGTAGAGAGCATCATTTCACACCAAGACAACTGAAATTAATGAGCCGGATTCCTACGTAGTGTAAATTCATCAGTCTTACTGGCAGTTGACACATAAGGTACCCTTATCTGTTGGAATTATCACAGCAGGTACAAACTCAAACCATGAGTTTGGATGCTCAAGGTTGCATTTTGGTGTGCAAAACCATAGGCTTTTGTGTCTATATGGCAAGGTATCCCTATGCTTTGCCTAAAGGTTGTTGAAATGAAGACCATCATAAAGAAAAGCATTTATACAACAACTTGTGAAGGGAGACCTGTTCTTCAAACAGGGCATGTAATGCTCTCATTACAGATCTAATACCATAGAAATACAAATGTATGCAGGGAGGTACATGTGTCACACATGTTCCTCTGTATGGAGAAGGTCATACTTACATACTTCTGTTCCTTTTGGAAAGGAAGCATGGTTATGTGCTGGGCAAACATGCTCTACGCTCTCAAAGGCTGTCCTCTACAGAACTACACACTTGAAACAGCTTGCACTTGAAAGCCAGCTGCACAAAATGTAGTCCCAAACATGCTTTTCAAAAGCTTCACAAATGCCAATTACATTAAGCGATATGAAAAAAAGCAACAAAGTAATGTGCCTAATTAACAAAGCTAGAGATGGAGCCAGCCATTTAGTTTGAAGTACTTCCAAGAGAGATGTTAAATGCAACGGTCAGGGCAACTCTGGAAGAAATAAATTAACATGCTGGGATAATACTTCAAGCTCTGTGGGAGTAAAAAGTGTGTGTGGTGAAGGGAAACAAAGGTAAAAATATCACAGGGTGCTATTTTGTTTGTTTGTTTGCCAAGGACACTTTAGCTTTGGTCATTTATTATTCTTCATGGTATGCTAGAAATTATGCAAGAAGACATGAAAGTATCAGCATTGCGTCACTGGATTTCCTAAATTTATCCTTTCCCCACCTGTTAAGTCTTAGCTCAAGGTCAATAGAAACAACCATTTTGAGTGAAGGAATTATGAGATAAGACACATTCACGAGAAAGACTTTAATGGTGTTCTTTTATCTTTAGTACTATCCGCAACCACAGCTTAAAAGATTCCTCTCACCACAGGACTTCTCTGAGCAATAATCTCTGTTGGCTTGTTCAGAGAATACTCTGTACATGTCTTTTGTTCCACAATAGTGGTTGTTTTCTGGTCCCCATAGCTAAGAGCTAACTGATTCTAAATCTTAGGTACCTGTCATTCCGTAAGCTCAGGCCATCACAAACTCTCAAGTTCCAGCAAGTAGCATGGCTTGAATCTGTTCCAGTCCTCATCTGTTGGCAGCTGTTTCCATCTGCTCCTTCTTGAACCGTTCTGCTCAGTCCCTGGGGAAGTGCAGAAAGATTGTCACGCAATGAACTTGCTTGTTGTGAGTTGGCTGCTCATGTTTTACCCGAATCTGTCATTTCACCTCGTCTGCTCTCTGGCCTTTTTTTGCCATAAGAATTCTGAGTTCTGCTGTGCATCAAAGGAAAGAAAAAAAAAGAAAAAAAAAAAAAAGCTATTCCTCAGATGGGGATGACAAAATGTTAATCCTTCTTTTAAGTACAAATAATTATTATTAAAAAGAGATACAGAAAAGATTGATCAGATCACTTAATCCTCACAGCAGCTAGGTACATAGTGATTCCTGCATGTATGTTTTGTAGCTAAACATGTCTGACATATCTTTGCTTTGTGATGAGGGAAGACATATGCCCTTCAAGCACTCCATTAACTGTGGTCTTTTTTTGCTTGTTTTTGTGGTAAAACACGAAGTATAGAGAAAAAAAAAAAACAAAAAACGAAAATGACATTTTCTGTTTTAGACACCAGTGGTTATGTTTCCAAACTTGCAGCTGAGCCTTTAGGAACTTTGGTTGGCTGAGCAAATGTCTATGTGCACTCTATTAATTTATCCTATTGCTATTTATGTACTTGTTAACTTGATATCTACAGACTAACATTAATTTACCAGAGTGAAGTAAAAGCTTTTACTTTTTCTTAACAAAGATAACTAATTTTATAATTTTATCTCTGAAAGTTTTAATTCATATTTTCATATACCTAATTTCTAGCCTAATTTCCTACTGGACCAAATCCTCCTCAAATCTCTTGGGCCTTTAAACAGGTATACCTGAAAATGCAAACTTTAGTTGCCAAAACATACTTTTTTTTTTCCTTCCAAAGTACTTGAAAGCACATCCCTAAATATAAGCAGCATTCTGCAGATCCTACTCAGTCTTAGATTGGGAGGGGAGAAATACTCAATAAGACAAGCAGTACAACATAACAGGGAAACAAAGCTAAAGAAATTCCATTAGTAACCCAAGTGCAATCACCTGGATTTTGCCCTACCAGAATGACACGTATTTATGGATATATAGGCAAAAACACCTCCTAAGGGCTGTATAAGCAGACACTCAGGATAACTGACAGTAATTTCATTGACTTCCCACATCACCTCTTCCGTGGTTCACTGTCCTTTGGAGCATATGTCTCTCTGCTTGGACTATGCAGTAGCCAAATGGGGCCACAGAAGCACCACTGTAGTACTTCTGGCATGAAGACCTTTCCATATAATGAAGAACTCTTAAGGGCTTTGGCATGATAAAGCAAATAAGAAGCATCTTTGCCCACATCCTGAATTACTACTGCATGGGCAATCTTTTTCTGACTTTTTAACAGGCAGGATGACTATGAGCTAGAGAACAATTTTAAAAGAACCTGCAGAAATCTATTTTATTTTTTATTACAGTCTGACAAATTACAAAGGGAAAAAAAAAAAAGGCCTTTACTGTGGATTTGAGAACTGGACACCACTTATCTCTCATTCCTTCATAGAAAAGTCAGTACACATGCTATTGTAGGCTGTCTTATAGGATGAGAATCCATCCTAGAAAAATAGAAAGGTCCAATTTTGAATGAGAATGGAACATAACTGAAGGAAGACCTACTTTGATTTCTTGTTGGCCAACTCTGAATATCTTGTCCCACTGTGATCTTCCTGTGCTTCCTTGTTATTCCCCAGTCCCTTCTACCTAGAGGCAAAGATGACAACTGCAGAATGTGGCAGAATCCACAGATGAATCAGACTGAGTCAGTAAACAATGACTAAAATGCAGTCTCATGGGAACAAACATATCACTATGCTTCTTAACCTAAACCATTTAAATACAAACCTGCTGCAAACCTTATATGTTACCAGGAATCCCAGCCACAATCTGGAGGGATGGGACAACCCCTGTGCACGGAGGCTCCTACAGAACTCTTTCCCAGGTCCTGAAAACTCTGGGTAGAGCATCTTCCTGCTTTCTGGAGCACAGAGACCATTCATGATAGTATATCCCAGAAAGAGAAGGCTGAGGACAAGCTGATAGAGGTGTTATCTCCTCACTCTTTACTTTAACAAAGCACCTCATTTAACTGGAACAAAAGGCTGCTGTTAATGCTGAGCCACAGGCCTAGGCATGAGACAGGATCAGGAAATCTGCATTCCCAGCAGTTGGCCCAAGATTTGTGACAAAAGCTGGATTTTGCTTTCCATTCACTCACACTTATATTGTATAAATCCTGGTTATTGACAAAAGAAATTCAGCAGATTTCATCTCGAGCACCAATTATTTAACTAGCATTACTTGAACTATCATATTTTATATCTCTTCATATGCAGCATACAAATAATTACTTCAACAGGATTAAATGTCACATTTCATAGGACTGGCTGCGTAAATATTTACAAAGCTAAAGAACAGCAAAGACATCTCAGAGTTATTGATTCATGTCAAATATTGAGAAGCTGGGTTAATCAAGGGATTTAAGTAATGCTTTAAACCTTTGAGTCAGCATTGTTGAGATTTATTTAAACTACTCTTACCTTTCAACATCTACAGTTTTACAAATCGTTTATAACAATAAAGATTTACAGGCCATTTCCCATCTGCTTGTCTGAGAACATTTCAGTTCTATTGTGAACTCAGAGTAGGCTGAAGAAGTAATAACAGCTGTGAAAAGTGAATCACTACACAAAAATAAAGTTCTCATTTCAATGAAAAAACAAAAAGGGAAGAAAGAAATGTTCTAATTATTTTGATGTATTAGAGAAATAGTCAGCTGACAGGCAAGCACATACATTGTATAAAATAGAGAATGTTCTATACTGCTTGGTCAGAAACAGACCCCAATATATTTTTTTTGGTGGTTAAATGAAAAAGATACACTTGCAGCACTGAGAACTGCATGCTTTTTTCAAGAAAAGACTAGCACCTCCTGTTCTGTAATCTGTATATAGTAGATGTGAAATACATATGTCTGTATCTATGTGTTTGTGTCTGTTGCTATGTTCATGCACCTGCAAATTGGCTGAGCTTTTAAAAACATAGTGACAGCATTAGTAGAGTTTTGTTTTCAGAAAAAGCTGCCTAGGCCAGCCTAAAAAAGTGAAGGATCTTTTAGGCCTCCCCAAAACAAATCATCTAATAAAATAAAGCCAAATCCCTAGCTCTTTCTGAAACTCTAGTCACAGTACATTGTAGGAGTTACATAGCTCAGACCTATGTGTGCTCTTTTAGAAATGCAGACCCAAGCCCTCAGGATGGCTGCTCTCAGCTCAGAGCTTACCAGCTTCCATAAGTATGTTATGTGCTGACATGAAAATTCCAGCTGTGTAAGCTGAATTTTCCTGATCACCAGCTGTGTTTTTTTGCTGGACCACACCTAGATCAGCAGGAAGAAGACAAGAGACAAAATCTATGCCCTTCCTATAACTCCTCATTGTAACAAAGTGATACATTAGCCAAGCTGTATACCTGATTTCAGATACTTAAAATAGATTTTGCTGTGATTGAGCCCTATGATTTCTTGAGGAGCAATTATTTCTGTTTTGGGGAATGCCTCATCAAAGATAAATCCTGATAATTTTATTAAGCCTTGACTAGAGAATATGCTCCAAGAGAAGCATGGTGCTTGGCCCATTCCAGCTACATGCTGGATTCAAGCACATGCTGGGGGTGAGACAGACAGCTCAACAGTTGTTTACAATGCTTACTGCCCTTTTTGCCAGGAAGAAGCAATCTTCTCTTTACACACAGGAAAGACAGTTTGGAAACCCCCCCAGTCCTTTAGCAAGCAGCAGAAAACTGCTTCCACCACCTTGACTTGCTTGTGCGCACCATCCCCATCATTTTATATGCTCGGTTCCGTCTCCCATAAATTTTCAGCAAAACCAAATGGATTCAGGTGGGAGTTTCTCTCAGTTACTGGAGTGAGTAAAGATGATGATCTCTATCATGTCACAATATTACTTCCATTTTTTCCAGAGCAACTTCCATTTATCTCACAATTTCATATGCACTTTCTGAAGGATCCCAAAGGAATTTGCAGATCAAAAAGAACCTTCAGTCACAAATGTCAGCCCAGTACAAGTGAACGAAAAACAAATGCAATTTAGCAGACAGAGCACAGTAAATACTTCTCAGTATAAAGCAAAGCCACACAACAGTTGAAGAACACGAATGAACATGAAGTACATATTCAAGTAAAACTGAAGTAATTAAGAATCAAAAATCGAGATATAAAAGTACGGGAACTAGCATTTAGCCATTACTTCCAGTGCTCTGGTTACTCTCATTAAAAGCATCATGACTTCTTTGCGTCAGGCTTTGGGCTACACAGCTCTTCAGACATGCAGAATCTCTATGACTCCCACAGTCAACATTAAGCACCAACCCACAATTTTCTCCTCCATTCTCTTTCTTTCTATGGAAGGCTTTCATCCAATTAATGACAATTCAAAGGGGTAAATCTAACCTTTCAGGAAAGTAATATCATCTATGCAATTGCAGTTCCTTTATTTTCAAATGATTTTCAAGGACAAAGTGACCACACCGCATGCTGAAGTGCATCACAGCTTTCCATTTAAAGACCTCAAACCAAATGATTTACAATGATCAATGTTAACAGATAGAACAATTCAAAGCATGATGTAATCTAAAACTGATAAAGAACTGCACTGAAATACTGTTGAGTTGTCATGAATTTAATGCAAGAGAGCACAGGCTGAATTATAGCATTCATGCACTGCAAAACTGGTGTTCCAGCCCTGGCTGCCTTTTGTTTTGAGATTATAATTCTTACAAATAATTCTCTCCCTCACAGCTTCCTCCAGCTTTAAAAGCATTTTGAATGTGGTCTCCAGTTGCATTCATATTTGTGCATAAAGTCACAGGTTCTCTCAATATCTTTTTTCCCTCTTCAGATTGTTACAATTGGTCAACATTTTTCCTTGAAGATAAAGTGACTGATGAACTCAGAGCTAGCCTTAGATTTTATGAGCGAGAGCTTCATTAGCTGTCACCATTGCTGGTATCCTCACCAGGAACCTTTATGAATGAAGAGGCTAAAGAGGTGTTTAGAATCACTACTCTTGATACACTAGTAAAGCATCAAAGTATACTTTGTGCCTATACAGTTCTGTCAATCCAGCATCTTCCGTAAGTGGTAGAATGTCTACATAAAAAATAAAAACAATTTTAAAAAAATTAAAATTTCACTTCAAATATATAAGTTACTAGGTTAAGGAATGTTAGGGAATATACGCTCAGGCATCTCGCACATTGATAAAAAAGCTCCTTTGGAGTTAGATAGAAATCACTGCCGTTGTCAGCTAAAGCAGTAAGTAGAGAACAGAAGGATTAACAAGAGTGAGCCCACACTAGCTATTTTTCAGTTTGTAGACTTCTGTCTAAAACACAACCTACCTTTCATTGTATATGACTGCCCTGGGGATGCTAAAGTATAGGGCAGCAAAGGTGATCTGAGTACACCAGATACAGAGGTGAAAGAAGGACTTAGTCTTCCTGTGTCATCAGAACACAGGAGACAGTGAGGTGACCTGACAGGAGTGATAAAATTAGTAAAGGGCTGACTCTTTTTCTGTTAGACAGTAGTTTAAAAACTAAATAATATCTATGGCTTGAAGTTAATCTTCCACTGTCGCAATTAAAAATGTTGATTTAGAAGAACAGCTAAGGTTATAAGTAGACCAAATGACTAAGGACTGCTCAAAGTGCATATATACTCTCCTGGGTAGTAGCTGCACTACTCTGGCCTGTCAGAATCCTCCCACAAGGGAGGCCTTCAGAGAGACCTTTCTAAACTCTATAGCTTATTTTCTCCACTTATGCCAGGTTTTGGTCAGCCCCAGCTCACCGTAGATGATCATCAAAATCTCTCACCACTTATTAGAATGAACTCAGGAAACAAAATGTATTTCCAAGGCTAATAGCTTTTAATGCATTTTTTAAAATTCTGATAACACCACCTGCTGCTGCTATACCAGAATCCTTTTCCAAACTGACTGAACTATTTGGATAACCTACTAAGTCTGTGTCTCCTACAGAGGGCTCCCAGCACTATTAAAGCTGGTTTAGTTCTTTTTAACATGTAAAACTTAGTAAGGTTAATTACGAAGTTAACTTAAAATGACAAATGATATCACAGAAAAACTAGATAATTCCTGGGCTTACACATCCACCTTCACATTAAGTCCTTCTTAAAGATGTTTAACATAAACCAAATGTTTAAACATTTAAAGATGTCAAATATAAACCAGAACAAAAAGTAGTTATAATGCTTTTATTTTTCAGTGGGACTAGGAGGACAGAAGTACCACTGTATCGTTTGGGATTAACCAAACTTCCATGGAAGTTTTCTGTCTGCAAACTAGATCTTGAAAAAGTAGTTGATTTGTTTCATCTATCATAATCCAAACATTTCTAATTATGGACAATTATTTTTTTAAATTAAACTATAATTTTATATCACTATATGGCAAGCTTAAAGCAAAACTGCTCACACACAGCACCTGCTAGACTGTCTTAAAACTTCCATTTCATGCAATCCAAAAACCACCTATCTGGTGGTATCAACAATCACTAATCAAACAAATGCAAATCATGCTATAATCTACCATGCAAAGCAAAGTCTTTGTGTTTTAATATGTAGTTATTTTGTGCCCCAATCCTTGTTAAATAAAGATGTTATTTTCTAATACTCTCCCTCTCAAGCTTCAATATAAGCTTCAAACATGATGTTATCTTTCATTTTCCACATCAAAATAATGTATAAACTTCATGTTCCAATTTATATTTCCAGAAGACCTTCCATTTCAGTAGCTATCTTGCTCCAGATCTCACAAGCTCCTGCTCGCCCATCAGTCTCTGATTTTGGGTCCTCTCACATCTTTTGAAATATCCAACTCTTCTGTCTCTACCAACACTCCTTTTTCAATTATAGCTTTAGTGTCTTCAAAGAAACCTTGCAGGTCACTTAAGCGTGGCCTCCTCACCTGAGTCCATGAAAAGTATCTTTAAGCAAGCTTTCCAGTTTTTAATATATACTTTCAGATGACTTCTGAGGTCCTGTACCACCCTCCTTCAGTTCCCCAGACAAGAAGGGAAACCCAAGCAACAGAAGCTGCATGATATCCCTTTCATCCCCCCAGTCACCTTAGTTCCCAACACTGAAATGCCTAAAGAAGAATCATTCAGGGGGGTAAGATAATGTGGAAGACAAGAGCTAATGAGCTGGGAAAGAGCCTCTAGAGTTGTGGATGTGACCAGAAGGACCTACTAGCCTAGGATTTAGAGGCCCTTAACTTCTTTCCTGGATTATCTGCCTTCCTCAGCCTTCACAACTCTCAAAGCCTGCTCTATGGTAGGTCTTCCCATTGATCCCCAGATCTATTATTATCAAAAGGAGTGACTTACTATGATTAAAAAAATAATTTTCATATGTATTATTTCTATCAGTGAGTCAACATCCTCTTTTCCTTTCTCTAGCCCAGGCTTGGGTTCACAGACCTGCCCTCTTCTCCCTCTGTGCACTCAGGCTGGCAATTCTCAAGGACTTTAGAAAGCATTTCTGTACTTGTGATTCTCATATTCTCCCTCTGTCATCAACCTTTCTGCCTCTGTTCAGTCCCAGTGCTCAAGTGGCTGTCTGGCATCTCTTCGTGGAGATTTTGTCATCAGTTTTTGCTAGCTAAAATGCAGAGTTGCCTTGATTTAACCTCACTTTCCCTTTTCTCTTTCACTGCTGCTGACACCAGTAACATACTCCCCTCCCTAGTGTCCTCTTTCCCTTTTCTCAAGAGTCACACACCAGGTCCCAGGCCTTCCTTCTACCCTGCCAGCTTCAAGACCAATCTGTTACCATTTTCACTGACAAACTGCTGGGTAGACCCCTTTAGAATATCCTACCACAGCTACTGCAGAGTTTTCTTCTCTGCATCCCAAACATGCAATGCTCCTTTGCAACCCAAAGAAGCTGCTCACAAACCTGAGCAAACCACTTGCTCCTTGACAGCCCTCCACTTGTTCTTCCCCTACTGTTCCCACACATCTGAATATCTGTCCTACTTCAAAGCTCAGCCTGACTTCATTCCCCTAGTCTACACTCTTCTGTTAATCGTGGTGTTGTCCCTACCACTTCTGCACTCTAGCAGCATTCCCTAACCACGTAACCTTCAATCGTATGTTTCTCCACCCTATTCATTCATCATGACATGACCTCCCATGATCAATCCACAATGGTTCATCTCTCCAGTCTCTCCCATAAGCCTCCTGAGATGCTGGCAGCAAATAAAACAAGATACAGGACTTGTCTACATACCTCTGTCACTTCCCTTCCACACAACCATCTTCCCGCTGTTCTTCAAGCTCCTCACAAAGCAGAAACTGGATTTTTTTTTTGAAACTTCCCTTGGCGTTCATTGTGAATGAAGGAGAACAAAAAAAGAGTAAACAACACAAACTGAAACAAAGGTGTCAGGAAAGAAACAAGTGAACAGTAGGAAAAGCAGGAGGAAAGATGGAGAAGTGGAGCAGGTGTGTGGGACCATGTAAAAGCGCGATAGGAAATGACAACCCTGGGCACCCCTGCTCGTGATGTGAGAAATTCATGCCTGGGGAGATCCTGCGTTTTGCCCTTCAGCGAGTTCAGTTCCGGCAGTACGAGCACAGCCGTGACTCACTTCGGTGGTGCCTGAGAGGGTCACTCAGAGCGCAGCGCGGGGCAGCGCCGCACACGCGGAGGAGACCCCGCAGTGGGGACTCCCCGCTGCGGGAAGGAGGCCGGCGACTCGGGAGGTGAGCTGAGGCGAGGAGGGCGCTCTCCTTCCAGCCGCGGGTACCGGAGCAGACATCCTTGTCCCAGCGGCACGGGTGGGGGCAGCGGCTGCCGAGGAGCGGCGGGGCCGGGGCGGCGGCGGGGCCGGGGGGGCGCGGCCGGCGCTAGGACCGGGCGGGAGCAGCGCCTGCGCGGCGGTGCCCGGCGGGCGGGCGGGCTGCACCGAGCGATCGGCAGCGGCGGCAGCGGGAGGAGCAGCGGCAGCGCCGCGGGTCCCGCCGCCCGCACCGGCAGCGCTCGACCCGGGCCGGCCGGGCGCAGGGGCGGAGGCGGGAGCGCGGCGCTGTCCCTTCAGCACCGGCGGCGCCCCCCGGCCCGCTCCGCCGGGAGGGGCGCGGGCACAGCCCCGCCGTACCCGCGGCGCCCGCAGCCACCACCGGCGCCCGCAGCAGCCCCGCGCACCTGTGGGCAGCGCCGGCGCCGCGATTTTCCTCCTCCCCCCACCCCCGCCCCTATTTTTTTCCTCTTCTTCCTTTTTTTTTTTTTTTTTTAGCTTGTGCTTTTGGCCACGTCCAACCAGGGGAGGGCCCTCCCCCTCCGGCACCGCAGCGCCCGCGCTCCCGGAGCATGGCCCCCCCTGCCCCTGCCCCTCCGCCGCGGCTGCAGCTGCCGCGGACCCCGAGCGTCTGACTCCAGACGGAGGCGGCGCAGCTCCAGGAGCCACCGCCACCGGCATCGCCTCGCAGCGGCCCCGGGGGAGCGGGGCTGGCCGGGGCCCCTCGCCCCCGCGGGCCCGGAGCGGGGCTCGGCTTAGGCACCGACTGCCGCCGAGCAGCCTTACGGGCTTGCTGCCTGCCGTGCTTGCTTGGATGAGTCTGCGACATGCCTAATAAGAGACGAGATGGGCCAGGGCGACGAGAGCGACCGCATTGTGATCAACGTGGGAGGGACTAGGCACCAGACTTACCGCAGCACCCTGCGCACCCTGCCCGGCACGCGGCTGGCCTGGATCGCTGAGCCCGATGCCCACAGCCACTTCGACTATGACCCCCGCACGGATGAGTTTTTCTTCGACCGGCACCCGGGCGTCTTCGCCCACATCCTGAATTACTACCGCACTGGCAAGCTGCACTGCCCCGCGGACGTGTGCGGGCCCCTGTATGAGGAGGAGCTGGCCTTCTGGGGCATCGATGAGACCGATGTGGAGCCCTGCTGTTGGATGACCTACCGGCAGCACCGCGACGCCGAAGAGGCTCTGGACAGCTTTGGTGGGGCGCCCCTGGATAGCAGTGCTGAGGACGGAGACATAGATGGCACTGGAGACTCTGGTGATGGTGAAGATGAGCTGGAGATGACAAAACGCCTAGCACTTAGTGACTCCCCAGATGGCAGGTCTGGGGGCTTCTGGAGACGGTGGCAGCCCCGCATCTGGGCGCTCTTTGAGGATCCCTACTCCTCCAGATATGCAAGGGTAAGCTATGCAATCAGCACCCTCATCAAACAAAACACTCGAACCTCCCTGCAGTCCCACTTCCTCCCGGCATCATCAGGGTTATCTCCACTGTCAGAGCAGAGCAGCCATCCATGTGTGTGGCCATACAAAAATCATGCAGGGGATGTAACCCACACTCTCAAGCAGGCCTCATGCATGGGGCACGAGTGGACACCAAGGCATGAGCTTGTGTACTCATATGTGGGAGTCCAGACACCCTTATTTTCTAACAGGCTCCTAAAACTCCACAGCTTGGGGCAGGGTCCCATTCAAGGACCAGGGAGATCTCCATTATACCAGGTAATTTCCCTCTATGCATAGATTTTTAGTCAGCCATCCCTCAGTAAAGAAAGACACCTTCTCCAGCCCTCTGATGAGCTAATGGTTAATCCCTTTACGAGATGGAGAAATGATCATGGGAGCAGGCAGTCCCTGGAGGACCAGGGTATTGGAGAGTTTCTCAGCCTGGACTGGAAAGGAAGCCTGTTCCTTTCTCTTTTCTCATACATACCAAGTTAAATATTTATGATCATGCTTCTCCGCGAATGGGTAATTCAGTTGCCCACTTACCTCCTCACTCTGTTGTTTTCCCTTGTGGAAAATGCAAAGTATTAATCAGAGGAGAGGGTTTCATTGATGTTGAAGGGACACTGTTTGACAGCTTTCTTGCTTGGTACTGAAGGACAACTCCTCCCCTCGTGGTGCCTGCGGTTGTTTTGGAAAGGGAATGCACACTGGTGCAGTTCACAGCATAGCTGGGGATAAAGATGGTCTGTAACAGTTGCCCGACTCCTTCAAGTAGACACCTTTCATGCTATGACATATGAGGATAATTACATTAATTAGGGCCTGATTCTGCTCCTGAAATTAAAAGTAATGAACACATTTACTTCAGGAACAGCAGCAGGATTAATCCCCAAGACACCCATACTGATTAAGCAGGAAAACAGATGAAGGATAGTGCCTTCACAAAGAAATTCGTTTGCATAGGTTTTATTCCTCCCTTAAATGTACCTTTGTTACAGCTTAATTGTTGCCAGCCCTCGGTAGGGATGAGTGGTGCTTTGGTGGGGGAGGATGATCAGTGTTCCTAAGGAGGATCAAAGAAGTGAGATCAGATTAGGGAGAAAATTGGATGGATGAAGGAAAGAGAAGTGGAGATGCAGGGAGCAGGGAGAGAGGAGCTGGTCATGTATGAATGGGTGGTGGAATAGCAGCTGCTGGAGACTTTCCGTCTGAGCAGAGATCTCCAGCAGGGAGACGCCAGGTCTGCAAACTGAATGAATGGGGGAAGCTGGAGCAGAGCCTGGAGTTACATCTTGCTGCATTTCTAAAGATTCTTGTTTGCATACCCTTTGGAGACTTCTTCCCTGAACAAAGGAGTTCATGTTTTAAATGAATTTCTTTAAACAGCATGGGGGATAAAGCAATAATAAAATATTTACCATAAGATGAAAAGAGGTTGCTGTTGTATTGCAGCTTTCAAAGCCCTGATTTCTGCCAAAGGAACATGGAAACAGAGAGGAAAGGCTGGCGGGTATCCTTCAAAATGCTTGGTTTCCATTAATCAAGCCCGGTGCTAGCAGGCGTTGATTTGAATAGCAGATCTCTCTGGTACCCAGGAATCTGTTGATAAAACACATCTCAAGTCAAAGCAGTGTGCTTGTCCAAGATTTTGTGGAGTGGTCCAAAAGTCAAAGGGATAATGTTGTCCCAAGGAAAAGGATACAGAGGCTAAAACATCCTCTTGCTCAGAGGCATTGTGATATTTTAGGTAGAAGGACAAAAATCTCTAACCAATATTAGGAGTCTTTACAATGCACAGACTGGATTTCTAGGAGGATATAGATTCCATTTTCTCATTCTCTAAGGATATTTTCATTTACCAATAGATGTTTTATAAAGTGCTTTGGGTTTTTTTGTTTGTTTGGGTTGGAGGTTTTTTTGCAGTGGATTATATACCATTTATTCACAATCACATGTACATACCTGTTAGAATTTTCAGCTCCTGACTGACCTCTAACTTGTTCTTTCCTTAAAGGATTGTTGAACTAGGTAAATATTTATTCTGGGCAAAGTGTATACTGAATATTTTGTGGGTTAAATATGATTCTTTAACTTGTATCTATGGAGACGTAGGCCATATGCATTAATATTTTGCATGAAAGAAGATGGCTTTCATCATCAACACATGCACACACTGTCCATTAAGAAGACATTATAAGACACTTAACATTTTCTAATAAAAGCCATACGTTATGGTTATGGATGTAAAAAGAGATGGGAGTTTGATTTATTGTCCTGTAACCTAACACAGACATTGCAAAAAGACCTCACACAATAGCTAATTTACAGTAAAATAATTGATAGCATCATTAACAAGTGAATGGTATATTAAAGCAATCATTATTAGAGTCAGGCAACAAATCTACTTTTAACTCACTTTTGTGTACACTACTTTCAATTACAAACTGTATTTCAGTTACGCAAAAGTGTAAATTTACATGGTCATTTTGTCCACAAAAAATCACAAAAAATTCTTTTCTTAAATGGAACTGAGACCTGTATTAAGGGTGGTTATTACATACGTTTAGTGTTTACATACAACACCAAAATGCATGTCAAAATAACATCCTAATGCAAGCATTAGTTTACATAACCATTATATTGTTACACTTGGGCAAGTAAAAGAAATACAGTCTATGAATATTAAATGAAAACCTGCGTATCTGTATAAAACAACATTTCTCCAGGCTCTATCTGGTAAGCTAATTCAGTGAATGTTTAGGAACGGTCTATGAAAAGCTCAGCATTTACTCAAATCCAGCCATTCTTGGAGGATTTTGATGGACACTGCTTGCAAATACAAGTACATTTGACTGTTTTGCTTCACCCGCACCTGACTCATACTAAATTACATCTGATCTCATTGTAGACAGCCAGAGAAGACTGGAAGTGCACTTGTGTATGTCAGGCAAAATCAGCTAACTCTGCAAATTTTGTTTATTTCTAAACTTACTTTGACAAAGCAAAGCTCCCGGTCACTAATCTTTTGTCTTTCGGTGCAACATAGTCAACAGTTTCCTGTTAAAACTATAGGGGCTGATTTTAATTAAATTCTAGTTTTCTACGCGGTAATTTCTTAAATAATGTAGTTATTTCTAAAAAAATGGAACACTTCCAAAAAATTGCATCATTTTCTATATCTGTAATAACAAGAGGTAGCTTGTTTCAAATCACAGATTTCCTTACACACCTACCTTAGTAAAATAAAGGTGTTGTACTTCTCCTAAACTTAAAGAATCTGCATTTGGGTACCAGAAGCAAAGTCGGGTTCCTGGAGGTCTGAACAGAGTAACAGACAAGGTGATGGAAAAGATCTGGTATGTAGAGATACTGTATGTGTATGTAGATAGGCAGGCATCCAGGGGTATTGTCAAAAGCATCTGATCAGGCAGCTAAATATCACTGCATGTCAATGGATATCACATACCTATATCAGCTAGACATTTCTCTAAAGCTCATAGAACTGTCTTTTTTGCATCATCAGAAAACTTTGCAGATTTATTTTTCATAAGTGGGTGCAAGGGGGGAAATAGAGTCCCACAGAAAGCGACAGAAGTACGCTATAGCAGCATATCTGAGAGTTACCTTGTAGTAGAGTTCCTACCCTCTGCACTGACCAGACTTCATTGGTCCTAAGTACACAAATGCGTGAAAAATACTTTCTTGGCATCCTCTCTCCTTTATATTTATGTCTGGTCATGCTATTCTTCCACTAGCGAAGCTCCCACTGACTTCCTGGGGAGTTTGGCAGGCAGGTATCTAACATATTTGTCCCCCTTCCTCCTCCTCCTCCCCAGCGGGATAAGGTTGTGTTTGTGTTAATTCACATTCCTTAGGTTACTCAATGTTTGGGAATTCAGAGCTTTCAGCTGAGATTCTGCGCTAGTGCTCACATTCAAATTGGACAGTTAAACTTAATTAATGAACCCTCAGGAAAGCTTTTGTAGTCCTTCCAAATAAAAATTTTTACTGTTTTTAAATAAAAGCTGGTAGGGGTCCTGTGGAAAGTCCTCAACAGCTTGACTTGCTATCCTGGCATATGCTATACCGCTTTATCTGTAAGAGGAAAAGCAAAACTCTCACTCACCCTTCCCTCATGTTTTCCCTTCACATCCTGGAGAAGAATCTGCTTTCCTCAGTGGGTGATTTTTGAAGGACAAGTTTCTGACAGTGAGAAGGAGACAGGCAAAAGTGGTAAAGAGAGATGAGAAAAAGGTATTTCCCAGAGATTTCTTACTGCTTTCTTTTGTACATTTAAGAGCATTCAACCTTGCTATGTTCAGTTAAACTAACTTTTCTCTCAGTAAACTACAACTCGTAGGCATGAGAAGGTTTATGGGATACTAGTTCCTGAATAACCATACTGTCTTGAGGATTAGAGGCTGGGGTGATTCTGCTCATTCTTTACCCCTGCCCAGGACAGCTAAGCTCAGGGATTGAGGCAAGTATCAGAGAGAGGGAATAGATACTCATCATCCTTCACAAGGGGAGCTTGTTCCACATCGTCTGATGCAGGACACATTTCGCACAGGAGTGTTCCACAGACAGCAGTGTGGGGTCTCCCACCAAGGGTGAGCAGAGAGGAAAAGGATGAGACTTGCCCCATACGCATTCCTCTACCCACAGGACCCCTTCTCCCTCAGGGACAGATTGTATCAAAGGCGCCCTGATGGAGCTGCTCTCCCACCTTGGGCCTTTCTGGAAGGTCTCTCCTGCAGAGGCATATCTAATCCTGCACTGAAGCTGGCTTCAGGAATTCTCACCATACACTTTGACAATTAACGAGACAGCCTAATTTTAACTGCACGCTGCATTACAGCTCTGGAAAAATGAGAATCTTTCAACATTAAATGAGGTTTCCCTTGCACTTCTAGTATAATGGAATTACAGACATCTATTAACTACCATTCCATCATTCGTTATTAATATGGTTCCTAAAATTCCATTTTATTCCTATTTTCTCCCATCAAGGACCATGTTACTGCAAATCCTTACATAACCCATTAGTGAGCATGGTAGTCTTCTCTGCATCCTGACCAAACAAGCCTTTGCAATGCCAGTTAGAAAGTGTTCCCTGCTCACGCCAACTCTTACATTCAGTCTCTACCAGATTGGTCAAGGTGGGGGCAGGCACACAATAACTCCTGGGAATTGTCCCTCCGACTTCAGAAGTCATAAATTTTTAAACGAACATACACACACACACACAAAAATTAAAAAAATATCACAGCAGCCATGCAGAATCATGACTTCAACAGTACGAGCTGATCAGAAACACATAGGAAGTGGTGATGTTTGCCCAGAATATCTTACAATCTCTTTGAAGTCACAGTCTCACAGGGAGATGAGAGGGATGATGTTATCCACCTGACAAATCCATGGCTGCCTAGTACAGACTTAACAGTTTTAATTCAAGGACTTTTTTTAATCCATTTTCCTATTTCCAATTTTATTTCTATTATTCTAAAATCTTAAAAAAGAACAGCATCTGGTGCCATTTTAATTTTTTTTTTTTAATCTTACTTAATTTTAATGTTTCTAGGTTACAAAATTTACTTGATTTAGCCAAGGCTGTGATTGTATGGATCATACCATCATATGCATACACATATATATGCCTTCCTATCACTGCCACCTCCTACGATGCTGAGTGGGATTTCCATATGAGGAAGGACTTCAAAATTAAACCATCCCAAAATATTTCTGCAAATGTAACCGTGGTGCCACTGAAATCGATATGAATTCAGTGACTGGGTTCAGAATGATGTTTGGTCCCTTCTATCTTTAATCCATTCCTTTGTGCCTTCAGTTATTTTCTTTGCCCTTCTCCTGACATTTGCTATTTTGGTTTTGGTTAGGGCAGGAAAAGGCAACAAAATACTGGTATTCTCTGTTGGTATACCATGAGACAAAGGATAAAAAGATCTGTGGATCAATTATAATATTTCTATTGTAGAACTGCTCATGAAAATATGATATATTAGATTATACCTAGAAAAACTATTTTTCCATCTTGTTTTTCCCTTCTGTTGTGCAGTCTAGTACTTAACAATATTCATCTTTTTTATTTGTAAAACTACGTGACTGATCTGTGTATATTTATAGTAGTACTTTAGTAAAGTCTATACATATTGCCTTTCTTAACATAAGGAGAGATGTTAGGAAATCAGCAACAGAGGGCCCAGCCTTACTGTTACTGAAAGTCAGTGCCAAAATTATCACCAGCTTCAAGGATAGAATTGATTTTTCCTGCAGTATGGTTAAGGATAACAGATTAATTGCAGTGTACTGCTTCTTTAGTAGATGCACTGCATATTTCTATTTCAAAGCACCGAAGTGCAATAGATCTTAGCAATTTATTAGGAGTATACATATTCAAATACATTTTTTCGTAACCTTTTAAAGACATGAGCATCTTTAGCACGCTGCATCAAAACACAGAACTCTGATACTGACAAAGCGGACTGTCATAATCTCACTGGCATTTTTTACTGCACAGAGCTATAGAATACATCCCATCAAACCACATGACTTCAATTAATGTTCAACTAAATCATGTCCAAGTGCTGTGTTTCATAATAAAAGGGGCAGGCAGGGGTATTCACATTGAAAAATTGGGCCCTAATTGATAATCAAGTGCATAATTCTTTCTTGCACAAATACAGATGGCAAAACTGAGTTTCCATTTTGTATAGGCTTGATTGTATGAAATTTCAGTGCATTCTTGGGAGGTAAGACTAATAAAACAGCCATTTTGAGATCTTTGCAATTGTCTTACAATTAGCTTCTCAGTTACTACATGCTGAATTTGATCTGAGGAAAGAACAGTTTAGAAGGCTGACTTGGCTTTCTCTACTGAATATTGCATTACATAAATATGTGATTCACTCCAAATGGTACACAGAAGTGTTAGCATCAGATGAAATCAGAGAAATCTATGAATCTTTGGAGAACCACCCCCTCCCCCTGGAATATAAACCAAATGCTGTCATTTTGAGAATAATTTTTACATTTCTCTCTGGTGCTCTCTAAGTCCTCAGATTTTGCTGTATTCACTCCTACTCCTGTAGTGATAGCTTACTCCAGGAATATCCTCGTTTCCTGAAGGCTGAGAACAAGGTACCACCCAACACGGGTAAAGGTGAAAGGACCAGGCCCTAATTGATTTTCATTTCTTTCAGATAAGATTTATAAGGTATAACCGGGGTGCTAATAAATCATGCTGTAAAAATTATGAATAAATCTCAGTCCAAGGCTTTTTGCAGCGATTGCTTATGATGTAAGACCCTTTAATGACAGTAAGTTAAAATTGCATTGTAATGGCCTTCTGTAAATGCAATAAATCTCAGGTTTCATTGCACTGCAGACAGCCAGCAATGTGTGTGCTGCACATGAGCTTCCAACACAGGCACACACTGCTGGCACACACTTACGTAATTATGTTGATACTTCAGGAGCAGCAGTAAATCTCAGCACTGCGAGATTTGAGAAAACCTTGGGTCAGGACCACTGTGGTGTTGTGACTACATCAAATGGCTTAAAATATCATACTGACTTTTTACTTGAAAACCTGGGAAAGAATGTCCCTTTTAAGAAGCAGTGAGATGGTTTTAAATAAGAACAGCAAAACCTAGTGAGTCTTATAATTTTCAGAGACAAATAGAAGTTAAAGCATACGTTTTTGTCTGCACAACCAAACCAAATCCATCTTCTTTTAAAAAATTAAAAATGTACACTGACAGCATGTTTCCACTGAAGCAGAATTCCTATTCCTGCCCATCTTTGCCCTCAAAAAACACATTCTCTAATACAGAGAGATCTGGTCAGTTCAGGTTCCTTATCATTTGAAACACAACAGAAATTCAGGTGCAGATTTCACTTTGAAAATTCATTCCAATAACCCTGTTCTATTTTTTCAGTTTGGATTCTTGCAGTCTTCATTACACTGGATCAGTTGACAGGTATAGATGGTGGAGGCCAGTTTTTTTTAATTTACCCAGTTATTAATTAAATTAAAACCTTCAGTCAGAGTGCATCAAATTTGATAATAGACTTCAAAATAAAATTAATAGGGAGATATCTCTAAAATGCTGAACACCTACAACCTCCAGTGGAAGGGAGGTCATATAGCAGAAAAGGACACGGGCAAGAAGTTAAGAGACCATCAGTAAAATCTCACCTCACCTTGTAGGGCCAGTGCCCCAGTGATCACTGATTTTAGTTGTATCCAGTCAGAGACCCAGGCAGACCTATTTCAGGTAAAATTTTTCAGGACAAGGACAATTGTGTAATTGCCACAACACACAATGCAAAAGGGCTTGCCTTCACAGCAGCCTTTGATCCCTACTCTAAAAACATGACAACATGATGTCAGCCACATTGTGTTATTC